TTAAAAGCATTTTTTCGGCCAAAGAGGTTGTAGAAAAACTGCTTTTAAAAATAATAAAAAAAAAGCCTCTGATGATTGTGCGGCTCAGCTGGCCAATGGGGGGAGAGCAGAGATTTTTGCTACCGGTTCTCCGAACTACCTGCTGCCATCGCTACCAGATCGGGCGATCCCATCCGAACCGGGAGCAGTTCACCTCTGGTTTGGAGGAAGTTCTGTGTTATGGGGAAAAGCAGAAAGGAAACATTTGCAGCTGGGGGAATGGAGCAACCATTAGCTCAACAATGAACTGATGGTGAAAGAAGAATTGACTTCTACAGAACTTCTACAGAACTAATTATAGGTATATAGAATACATATACTGACTTTAATTTGGAAGCTCAGATTCAGGTAGCAGGGCTAATACTATCCCTTCACAATTATTTCAGTTTAAAAAAATCCAATTTTGCCGTTTTATATTTTTGAGATTACAATTAATTAAGAGCACAACTTTCTTCCCAAATTCCTAGCATAGTAAGATGGGTTTATATGCAACATTGTTTCCATGAATAAGAAATAAAAATTGCATAAAAAAAAAACTGTAAAGTCACAAATGTCGCATAAGAAAAACATGAGCTAGTAAAGATGATCCTGTCTTGTAAGAATAATTTTGCCCTATATTGAGTCACTGAAAATTCACAAGTTATGACATTTCTAAAATTTGTTGATATTTGTAGAAGTATAAATATGTCATCCCTTATGTACAAATAAAAAAAAAACCTTAATAGACAATCAAGACAGTGCCTTAAATGTTAACCATTTCAGAGAGGGATTTTGGCATTGGTAACAAAATGTGAATTTGTTAAAGGACTGCCAATCCTAAGTAGGCTCCCCCATAGTTTGCTGACTACATCAGCTCTTGAGATGTGGTGTGATCAGAACATACTCACTAGCTGTTAATGCTTGGTAATGATTTGTGCATCACACAAACTAGTCCTATAAGACAACATGCTACTATTATTATTGATGCCAAGCCTTTAAAACAAGTATATATCCCTGTAAAACAAATATGGTTGCTAAACATATTCTTTAGGTCTGTTGTTTATGAGGAGACAAATTTTGCCTAGACAGATCTTGAATAAACTCAAAATACCTCTTTATATCCCAACAATTCAACTTGTCTTTAGGATAGTAGCTAAAAATTATGAAAAACTATTTCGCAAACACACATCTATACATTCTGAGGCCTGCATAAACGTATGTGGAAATGATGGGAGCAAAACCTGGTTGATGCATGATAGAAAACAAAGAGAAGTCATTTTGTTAACATTAATTTTTATAAAATACCTTACAAGAACAATATAGTAACTTCAGGTTACATAATATTCAGAATTGAAAAAAAAAAGTTGAACAAAATATAAATTGATCACATCACTATTTTTACCACATTAAACAAGTTTATAAAAAGTATTTTTCTTTCAGATAAAATAGTTATTTAGAAGAAAAATCTTCAAAATAAAAACTATTGAAGTCCTTTCAAGAAATCAGTCTGAGAAGCATTACGGTTCCAGGTCAAAAGGCTGTGCCTGATTTAGAACTCATTTGTCTGCTTCCAAATGTATCAAGCTTTAAGACACAAATTAAAACATTTACCAGGTCAGTGCAAAGTAAAGCTTCAAGCTGGAAACAGGAGAAACAGAACAATGTTTCTGGTCCAAAATGAATTCACATTATGAAAAATTTGTTAGGTTATGTGCTTGGGATAGAAGAAAACTGGCATTAGAGTACTGGAAAGAATGTTAACACAGAGGCTTGTTATTTAGATGCCGAGTGTCTATTTGTGCTCTATAATGTGAGATACCATCAACATTACTGGTAGACATCATTATCGGTTTAAACTATTTAAAATTGTTTAGCTGTAAGACAAGGATGCATAAACTGCCCTCCTTTCCCCTCAAGACTTGTGTATGTGAGCCCAAAGTCATTCTTAAATTGCCATCTAATTGTAGATTTTTTAAAAAATAAATCAGAAAAAGAAAATATTAAATATGTGTCAAGTAATCATCTTGGCTCCAAGATCACTACAAATGGGGACTACATCCAAGAAATTAAAAGCTTGCTATGGGAGGAAAGCTATGGCAAATCTAGACAGCATACTAAAAAGCAGAGACATCACCCTGCCAACAAAAGTGCTTATAGTCAAGGCTATGGTTTTCCCAGTTGCAATGTATGGCTGTGAAAGTTGGACCATAAGGAAGGCTGAATTGAGGCCTTTTAACTATGGGTCTGGAGAAGACTCCTGCGAGTCCCTTGGACTGCAAGGCGATCAAACTGATCAGTCCTAGAGGAGATCAACCCTGACTGCTCTTTAGAAGGCCAGATCCTGAAATGAAACTCAAATACTTTGGCCACCTAATGAAAAGGAAGGACTCACTGGAGAAGAGCCTAATGTTGGGAATGATTGAGGGCAAAAGAAGGGGATGACAGAGAATGTGGCCAGATGGAGTCACTGAAGCAGTCGGCATGATTTTAAATAGACTCTGGGGGATGGTAGAGGAAAGGAAGGCCTGGAGGAATGTTGTCCATGGGATCGTGATGGTTCGGACACGACTTCACGACTAACAACAACAATCATTTGTTTCATTTAAATCAATTTAGATCTTGTATAGAAACTCATTCAAAGCCAGAAGCCGGATGATCACCCCTCCACTTGATCAACACTTTGAATCCAGCTAAAGAATGTAAAATAAAAGTTAAAGTATGATAAAACTATTTAAGTTTTTGAATGACTCTCCATTGCAGGAACATGGTCATATATCCAACCTAGCAAGTAGCTTATGGATAGACTCCAAATCTGATTCATTTAGGAAGTGATCATATAGCACAATATGATTGCTTAAATATGTTTGTATACTTGTAAGTATGTGCCCTTTATCTCTAGAAACACAGAAATCTTGCAAAGATAATTTGCTATTTATTCTTCTGGCTGCTAACATGCACATTAAACAATTTATAAAATAATGTTTACATTTTGTTAAATTTATATCCTGCTTTTCCTTGAGGAACCAATTATATCATACACAGCACTCTCAACAAATGTGAGGCTGAACTAACAGTGACCAATCCCAAGCTATTCAATGAGTTTCCTTGGCTAAGGATGGACTTGGTTCTGGCCCAAGTCTTAGTTCATCACAATTATATTACAATGGCTTTTTATTTCTTTTGACCCTCTTCAAAAGCTGCACTTGAGGATGAATAGATGACTTCTGTAATGGTGAAAAGATTTGTAGGAATATTGTTCATTGGGACATGATACCCTTATAAGCTCTTTATCTTGTTAGATGAATCCTGTATACGCTTTACTACTATGTTGGCACAATCAATGTAATAATTTTAAACATTACTATTCATAGGAATTTTAAAAAAATATACTGGACATGATCCTCTGATTACCCTAAACTATTATAATTAAAACCATGCACAGGCATGTGCCAATACACACATAGACAATCTATTTTTCTCAACTAGAATTGGAAAATTTTATTCTAAGATAAATTATATTGTAGGTGAATTATATCCTTTAATTTAGCAACATATTAAGTTTTTAATATATACTTAAATTGGGAGTATTAACAATCATTTTTTTTATTTTGACTTGAAGGTAACGAGAGAAAGACTATCTACCCTTTTTGATACATTTGGATTCAAATGTAGTCATATTTCATATTTATTTTTCACAGGGAATGGTAGGGATGTGTCAGTGAAAATTCTAGTTTTAAACAATCACCGTGAATGATGTTGATTCTATAGTTCTATTAGTACTTTTATAATTTCCCAAATGACCAAGGATAAAAGATGCAACACTGGCATTATAGAATACAGGCATACCTGGCTTCTTATATTACTTGGAAATTCCATTAAACCAAGTCCAATCTTTGTGGAATGTTTACTACCGCTTTGGCCTGTCAAAGGCTTAATCAGATGCTGAAATATTACCAAACCATATCATATTCTAAATGTTGTATCTTCCTCCCTCAATTACAAGGGATCAGAGAAGACTGAAGGGTCAACCTATACATTTGTGTGTCTCTACTCTTACACTATGTAACATATTAACTTAAACAGGTCGGTGATGGTGAACCATGCCCAAAGTATAATATAAATGCCAATTTTCTCCTGTAGGAACGTATTTCATAGATTTAAGAGACGATAGGGAAAATAGCCATTTCAAGGTTAAATTTGTATTCAGATTACCCCGTTTCAAATCAACAATTTCTATTAAGTTTTTTTTTAATAGGAATTGGAAGATCTAACTTTAAGAAGTGGACTTCAATTCCTAGAAATCCCCACCAAGCATGCTGAAGTCCACACATCTTAAATTTGCCAAGGTTGAGAAATACTGATCTAGGGGAAAATGAAATTAATTGAAAAAATTGATTTGGCTTGTGCTTCAAAATTACTAGCCACTCAAGGCAGAAAGTTACGTTCAAGAATAGACACAACACAATAAGTTGATCTGGGGACTGAATAAACATTTAAGGTATAACGTAACTTAATTAATATCCTTGTAAAATTGGTTGATATAGAACAGAATTCAGCAACAGCATAGAAAGTTTAAAGTGTTCCTAAAATGATCCTGTCCTCTAAGGTGTGATGAAATAATTATCTTCACAGGAAATTAACCAAATACTTCTTTCCATAAGACAAGATAATAATTTACCTGGCCACTAATAACATAATTCACTCTGCTGGATTTCATATATCTGCCAATATTAAGGCACGCACAGCTTTTCATTAAGCTTGTCAAGGAACAAAGTCTAATTTCAATCCCACACCTTTTGCATTTTGAATAATTATATCAAAAAAGGATTTATGTTTTCAGGTCATTATCATGCAATTCTGTATATTTTAATTTTGTAAATTAACCATACTGATCTTGAAGCTTAACAACCACATGTCAAAGAAAAGCTACCCAGTGTTGCTGGTCAAAATCCCTTTTAAAATAGACCAGTAACAAAGTAACATATTACACATTCATTTATTTATTTTTGCTTTGTGTAAATAGCAATGGTCTATCAGAAAAATAAAATCAGTAGTGAAGGCCTCATTTTTCTTGCATTTTATTTGAGCAGAAATGCAAAAAGCTTTTAAAGCTCCTTGAAAAATAAAAATGGAGAGTGCACTTATATATGTATAAAAAGTAACTGACTTAGTAAATGGGGCAAATCAGTATAAAGACAACTGGAAATGCCTCACAGTAGAAAATATGAACAAGAACATAGGAGGACTATCAGCTTTAAAATTGTCATTTACCATCTTGTAAACATGAAAAAAGCATTTCACAGATTAAAAGTTCATGGGAAGTAAACTTCTTTAAATTATTTGTCAGTTCAACCCTGATTCAAAAATATGGCTAGCAAAAATACAGATTTAATTCACTTATATCTTGAAGTGAGCAGTTGATCTTATTCTGAAAAATTGTTCCAACTCATTCTTTGAAGATACATCCAGGAAAAAAAAAATCTCACTTGAATCCCATCTCACAATTGTACAATATTTCTCATATTTACACCCACACACACATATGGAGAATTGGCTTGCTGCAAGATTTTCCATACTATAGATTGAGTCGTGGAGAAACTGATGGAGGAAAGCAAGCAAATTCTCTTAGAATGCTCCGTGCTACATCAAGATTATTCTGGGCTATTTCAAGGGCCCTCTTCACTTCTTCAAAAGAATAACCTTCTCCCATAAGTTTTGCAATCTTTGCATCAACATTTTCTATAGATGTATTATGTGCCTTCCTATGGTGTATTTCTGGAGCAGTCCTACGAGGAAGTGGTTTTGGAGGTCGGGCTGGTGCTTGCGAACCATCTACATAAAAAGAAAAAAAAAGAATGGTCATTTTTTATGGAGATATAAAAAGATATTCCTGGCTAATACAAAGTCATTGATTCTATTCAATTATCTATCAAAGATAATTTCTGAATCTGAACTGTACTGTGTATTTATACATATTTAATCTTTGCACAGATAGGAGGAAAAGAATTATTATTTGTTTGGTTTGGTTCAAGAACAAGCCCTACTTGTTGACTCTGCCTTCCATTCTTCTGAGGTGGGTAAAATGAGGACCCAGATTGTTGGGAGAAATATGCTGACTCTGAAAACCTCTTAGAGAGGCTGTAAATCATTGTGAAGCGGTATATAGGTATAAGTGCTATTGCTATTAGATGTTACCAAACCATACAAAAAAGATATAATTAAAACTACTTCATCTTAATTTTAACTGATTTTCTCTAATATTTTCTATGAATCTAAGACCTTCACATTTATGATTCCTCTGTTATGGCAATATTTATCTCTATGATGTGCAGTTGCAAGCATTACTATAAAGTATTATTGGAATTAATGAAAATCAGGGGTGGCATTTTAAAGCATAATTTAATAAATACAAATGCAAATAAATTATCTCAGAAGCACAGGTAGTCCTTGATTTATGACAATTGAACCCAAAATTCCTATTGCTAGGCGAGACATTTTTAAAGTGAGTTTTGCTCCATTTTTTAACCTTTCTTGCCACATTTGTTAAGTGAATCACTGCATTTATTAAGTTAATTTCACAGTTGCTTAAGTGAATTTGGCTTCCCCATTGACTCTGCTTATCAGAAGGTTGCAAAAGCTGATCACATGACCCCAGGGCACGGCAACCACCATCATAAATATGAAGCAGTTGCCAAGTGCCTGAATTTTGATGACATGATCATGGGGATGCTACAATGGTCATAAGTATGAAAAATAGTCATAAGTCACTTTTTTCACTGCTGTTGCAATTTTGAACGGTCACTAAATGAACTGTTGTAAATCAAGGACTACCTGTAATTACATATCAGATCACCTTCCATTCTTAAGATTTATGATTCAATGCATTCCAATAAATTAATTACAATGAAAGACAGTAAGGATTTTTATCAGCTTTCTTTCTCATTCTAAGAGTATTTTTTTTTAAATGCTAATGTCAAACTCTCAGCTCTGGGGTTCTATGCTCTATATAATCTTCATCATATTATTACTATTATTATTTATGCAGTTATATTATATCTTAATCATACATATGAATTGGATTATTTAGTTATTAACAGCTGTGATCACAGTAATAATAATTCCTTGGAAATTGATTTTAAATAGTCTATTCCATCAAATGGCTACACCAATTCTGATCATAAAACGGGCTGAAATAAATATAACATGCTTTATTTTTATTCAAGAATATAAGTATTGTTCACAATATTTTATTTGATTTGGGTGAGACTCCATGAACATAAACCACAAAATCTAAATTTATTTTAAAAAATATTTTCAACTGGTACACAAATTTCTATTTAGCTTCAATGTAAATTATAGATACAAACAATTCTGCATTATATTCCTTGAAATGTGACTAAGAAGATGGATATTTAGGAACATGTATTTCAGACAGATATCTTAATATTTGAATAGCCTTATATTTTTTTAAAAAAATGTTTGAAATTGTCAGCAATGAGAATCTTTCAGTAGCAACATTAATTCGCTTACTAGTATCCAAAGTACCATAATTAATAGATAGGAATTTTATATAATACATGCCAAATTATGGATAGAATTAATAAACAATGAGGAGTCCTTGTTGCTTCCTGAGCTTAGTTGTTTGCCAAAGACTCCACACACCATCTTTAGCTACATATATTATCTTCTATTGGAATAAATAATGCATGTAATTTATACATAGCTATAGCTTGTATCAAGTATACCAACATCTACATTAAAAAGATATCCAAATGATTTAACTTGTACATAATGCATATGGGAACATATTACATAAATTGATGAAATTGAATTTTGGAAAAGATCTGTGTAAACTAATTGCATTACTATGCACACCAAAGCAATATATTATAATAAGAGGTTGAAAATAATTTTTTCACACCTTCTATTAGATTAGAACTTCAAACCCATGGCAGAGTTTATTAAAAAGCAAGATATGTTGAAGTTAAATTCATACACTTAGTAAGAACAGTATAGATACATAAGAAGTTTCTACTGTTCCAACAAATGCACTGGGAATTACCTGTTGTCTTTTTTTAAAACAGTTACCACATATTAAAAGACTTTCTGCCTACAGTTATCTAATAGTATCACTCAATCTAACAGTGTAATTCAATTTTGTTTATTGGCAACAAACATAATAACAACACACACACATCCAATCTTGGAAGATATGACTTGGTCCAAGTAAAACCACTTTTAGACTCTAGTTGGAGCAGAAAAGCTAAAATTAAGATTGCTTCTCCTGAACTTGAGATACATTTGCTTTAACAGACATTCATGTACAGAATATCCACATAATCTGAACATAGGAATTTTCTGTTCACATTTTTCCTGGAATTTTTAGAAAAATAATTTTTAGAAGTATAAATTCAGCTTTGTTTAGCTTCCCTCTTAGCAGATAATTTCAAGAATAAAATTGTTGGAATTCTACTTTTGACATACTTTACTCAAGTGTCCAGTCTAATGGTTAAAATATAGGAATTCTCAGATGGCAGATAAGACAAGTACATAGCCTTGTACTTGGGGACTCCAAGCCAATTATAACTGTACCTTTCCACCACAAATCTTAAAGGAGATAGTAATCTATTACTGAAAAGTTCTCTAGGGGCCCCTAAAATTACACCAACTACCACCCAATTACAAGCACCTCTTTGTTACTAGAAACGTAGATCACTGAATCAAAGTTGTATAAGGTGTATTTTGAGTCATCAAGAATACAATTTAAAACATCCAATAAAAATGAGTTGTCCAGCCTTTGTTTGGACAACATGCTTAATAACATAGCAACTGGCTAACTGCAGATATTTTCAATGACATGATTTTCTTTTTCCTGGGCTTAGGCCTGGGTTTGCAAATTAGCATATCAGATACTCTTCTGAAGGACAGAGTTAAATACAATGCAATTCTATTGATGTTTGATGTTTATGTAGCTTAATACTGTCAACCATAGTATTTTTCTTTTCTTTTTTTTAGTTAAGGTTTTATAAATTAAACAAAAACACAAAACAAAAATACATACAAACATGGATACATTAAGACAATACAAAAGAAAAAAACAAACCAACACTAACTCAGTCCACTGACTGACTTCTGAAAGTTGTTGCGTCGGTGATTGTTTTCTTTTTTTTTAAATTTTTTATTATATTTTTATTGTTAAAGAATAACAAAAAGGAAAAAAAAATTGGTGAGGATTTTGGTTATAATGGGGAGAATTATAATTGCTAGATATTGGAAATTAAATGTTGACTTAAAATTAGAAGAATGGTATAATGAAACATGGAAATTTGCATTAAATGATAAATTGACTTGTGATATTAAAATTAGAAGCGGTATATATAAAGAAAATGTTTTTTGGAACACTTGGCAACCATTTGTGGACTTTGCACTTGGGAGATTGGATGAATCGGCACCAGTACCTTATCAAAGAGATTTCTGGAAGAATTGAAGACTTCAATTTCCTAAAACTTCCTTTCCGTTTGTATAGCACGTTGGGGGAAAAAAATTTTTTCTTTCCTTACTATTGATTTTTGTGTTGATTTTTTCCCCCTCGGTGATTGTTTTCTATTTCATCTATTTTTATCTATACATATCTATTTTAGATGTTTACTTACTTAGACATTTATACATATCCAAGGTTTTTTTTTTTATAAAAATATCAACTACATTTATATAACTTTCTAGAAATCCTTCTAGGTATTTATCTACACCATCATTCTATCCTGCCTCTTACATAATTGTCTGTGTTTCTTGGTTAGATTGACAAAAAGTATTATTTGTTGGTCCTATCTTTCCCTCTAACCAGGAGTACCACCTTTGCCAGATTAAATAGTAATCGGTATCGTCTTTCTCTAGCAATTCTTTTGTAAGTCTGTCCATTTCTGCACATTCTGTTATTTTCGCAATTATTTTTTCTTCTGTTGGTAGTAGTTCGGATTTCCAGTTTTGAGCGTACGCTATACGTGCCACTGTTAAGATGTGAATAATGAGATACTTCATCTCTTTGTTGTATTGTGGTGTGGTCATTCCAAATAAGAAAAACTCCGGTTTCATTTTGACCTTCTGTTTAGTTATTTCTTCAATCATTTTCCTGATTTCCTGCCAATAATGTTGCGCCCTTCTGCAAGACCACCAGATATGATAATATGATCCCTTTTGTGACTTGCATTTCCAGCACATTGGAGACATATTTGGGAACATTTTAACCAGGCGTGCCGGTGGGAGGTGCCATCTGTAGAACATCTTGTAAAGATTCTCTTTATATGGTATCGATAGTGTCAGCTTGTAGTTTTCTGTCTATAACTTGTCCCATTTATCCAATTCTATGCTGTACCCTATATTTCTTGCCCAGGTTATCATATTTTCTTTCACTGTTTCCTCCTCTAATTTATATTTTATTAAGTATCTGTAAATTTTAGTTACCATTTTCTCGTCCATACTTTTTAATATTTTATCCAATTCGTTTGGTTCCATTTGAAATCCATATTGTGTCCGGTCTGCCATGTATCTTGACTCTATTTGGAGGTAAGGCCACCATTCAATAACTATACCCCGGTTTTCCAATTCTTGTCCCCTTCACTGTTCAGTAATTCTTGATAGTTCCTCATCTTTTCTATTTCTATAGTGTTTGGGTAGATTAAAGCTTCCATAGTCAATAGCCATCATGGGATTTTGTTGTAGTGTTGTTTTCTGATTTCTTGCCACATTTTGTATAGTGAGCCTCTAATAATATGTCGCTGGAAGTACCTATGTTTCTTATCTGTGCCTTCCCACAAAAAGGCATGCCAGTCTCGATTCAAATCAAATCCCTCTAGATATAGCCTTCTCTTGTTTTTTAAGTCTATCCATTCTCTAATCCAGTTTAGCGACGCTGCTTTGTAGTATAGCTCCCAATCCAGTAGACCAAGTTCTCCCTTTTCCCGGGCATCCTGTAAACATTTTATTTTGATTCTGGCCTTCTTTCTTTGCCAGATGTATTTCATTACTATCTTATTAAGGTTCTTAAAGAAATCTTTTCCTGGGCTAATTGGTATCACTTAGAAGAGATAAAGTAATCTTGGTAATATGTTCATTTTTACTGATGCTATTCTACCCAGAAACGACAGCTGTAATTTATTCCATATTTCCAGATCTTTTTTAATTTGTTTCATCAGTTTAATATAATTATCTTATCTAATCGTTGTTGCTTTTGTAGTGAGCCAAATTCCCAAGTATTTTACTTTCTTTGCAATTTGTATTCCTAATTCTTCTTCCAATTTTGTCTCTTGTGTCTTAGTTAAGTTTTTAGTCAGAACTTTAGTTTTTTGTCTGTTAATTTTAAATCCCGCCACTTTACCATATTCTTCTATCTTCGCTAATAATTTAATTCCTGATGTTTCTGGTTGTTCCACTATAAACACAATGTCATCGGCGAAGGCTTGTAATCTGTATTCCTTCTTCCATATCCTCAGACCCTTTATTTCTTCTTCCTTCCTTCCTTTGTTTAGTAAGACTTCCAGTGCTATTATGAACAGTAGGGGCGATAGTGGGCATCCTTGCCTCAACCCTTTTTGTATGTCCATTTTTGCTGTCATGTTCCCATTAATTGTAATTCTCACTGTCTGGGAAGAATATACTTTCTTGATCATTTTTAAAAAATTATCGCCAAAATCCATAAACTCTAATTGTGATATAAGAAAATTCCAATTCAGATTATCGAATGCCTTTTGGGCGTCAAGAAAGATTAGAGCTACTTTTTTATCAATTTTTTGCTCATAATATTCTAAGACATTTATAATTCTTCTCGTATTATTTTTTATCTGTCTCCTTGGAACAAAGCCATTCTGATCAGAGTGTATATAATTGTGTATGACTGTTTTCAATCTCTGTGCTATAACTGTCATGAATAGTTTATAGTCGACATTTAGTAGCGAAATCGGTCTATAATTTTTAACCTGTGTCAGGTCCGTATCTTATTTGGGGATAAGTGAGATAATTGTTTCTGCCCATGATTTAGGAGTTTCTTCTTCCAACAGTGTGTCGTTGAAGACTTGGAGTAATAGCTCATCTATCGGAGACTGACAGTTTTTGTAAAATTCGGTTGGAATTCCATCTGGGCCTGGTACCTTGTTGTTCTTTTGTTTCTTCCGGGCTTCTGTTAATTCTATCATCGTGATTGGTTTGTTTAATATATCTCTGTGGGTGTCCTCCAGTTTTGAAATATTTGTTTTACGCAGATATTCTTTAATGTCTCAGTCCTGGATCTCCTCTTGTGAGTAAAGTTTTTGATAAAATTCTTTAACTATACGTTTTTTGTCTGGATTCATACTATATGTTTGTCCTGCTTCATCTTGTAGTTGATATATTATTCTACTCTCCCTCTCTTTCTTCAATCTATACACTAGCCAGCGACCATAGTATTTCATTGGCTTGTCTCAGTGAGTTGACGGTGCCGTATTACAATGATTTCACTCCTACTTACACAGAGTTGAGTGACCATCTCTCTATCCTGGCAACAATACCGTGGGGTACCTCAAGACCAGTGATGGGTTTCTACCGGTTCGTTCCAGTTTGGGCAAACTGGTAGTGGTGGCGGCGGGAGGCTCCGTCCACCCACCCATCATCACAGATGCTCTGAGCATGCGCAGAAGGTTCTGCACATGTGCAGAAGCGTAGCACATGAGCGTGTGTGCGCGCACTCTCCTGGTTCCGAACCAGTAGCGAAGATAAGAGGAACCCACTACTGCTCAAGACATTATTTTCTCCTCAGTGATACTTAATAACCATAAAAAATTGCTGGGGGAGGTTATCTGGAGTTTGAGGGCTAATAACGATCAGTATGTTGATGACAAAATTCTCTGTAACCTCTGAATTAGGAGAGGCGTATTCCAATCCAGGACAGCAATGGGGTAGATAACAGCCAGTAAACAAAGATCTTTATCTTAATAACATTTTAGATGGGTGGTTTCCACATGAGAATTTCAGAAATTTGCTTGCTCTAAAAATGTTGCTCCTAAAGACATTACCACCACTGGAACCTAAGTGACATATTTCTAGTTTTGGTAAGTGTACTAATTATATCTTTATATGGACGGGAACAGTTTAGCTGTATTTGTTCAGGAAAGGGAAACTTTTTATTTAGATTACTGTAATATATGCTACAAGGGTAGCCTTGTGTTTGATCTGGAAAGAGAAGCGCACATGAGCGTATGGCTCATGATCATACACAAGTTATGCTTCTGTTGGTTTCAAATTCAGTATTATGCTAGGTTGAAGATTCTGCTCTTTACATTATAAGGTCCTAAATAATGTGGCACTAGGATACCTAACAGATCAATTATGTGTTACAGACCTGATTGATTGGTAAGATCATCATAGGAGGTTCTGCTGTGTGTGCCGAGACTGACTGATTGTCATCTTGCGGTTACTTGCAGACAAGCCTTTTCTGTAATGATGCATGTACCCTGGAATGCTCGGCCACCTGAAATTCATGAGGTACCTACTGTTACATCTTTTAGGTACCTTTTGCCAGGCTTTCCTTCTATCAATGTTTGATGGCTAATTTTGCTTTTGCTTAACACATCTTTACTTTGTTTTTATTATTGTATTTAATTCTTTTGATTGTAAACAAGTCCAGTATCTGACTGTACGAAAAGCACTAGAAACATTAATAATGCATCTTGAGTTTGCATAATATTTCAGCACATTTAATTATGGATTTTTTTTTCTAGTAGTGACTGTGATGTTTTCTTCTCTTTTTATGCTAATAGCGAATATGTAGATTCTAACACCACACAGCAATTTTATTTATTATAAACCACTGTAACCAAGACTGACTTCCAGCAGTTTACAACACAAAAACAGAAACACAGAATAAAAACAAGGAATGAAAACAGCAGCACATAACCCTGATGTCAAGGTACAGGTAAGAGGGACATGGTGGCTTAGTGGCTAAGACGCTGAGCTTGTCAGTTGAAAGGTTGGCCGTTCAGTGGTTTGAATCCCTAGTGCCGGGTAACAGGGTAAGCTCCGTTACTTGTACCAGCTTCTGCCAACCTAGCAGTTTGAAAGCATGTAAAAAATGCAAGTAGAAAAATAGGGGCCGCCTTTGGTGGGAAGGTAACAGCATTCTGTGTGCCTTTGGCATTTAGTCATGCTGGCCACATGACCACGGATACATCTTCGGACAGCGCTGGCTCTTCGTCTTTGAAACGGAGATGAGCATCGCCCCCTAGAATCGGAAACGACTAGCACATATACACGAGGGCAACCTCTACATTTCAAACTCAAGCTCTATAGAAAGGAGAGGCGGGGAGTTGATATTCTAAATCACATTTTCTCCATTTTCAATTTCAATACACTTTCTGAAAGATTTAATCTGAAAGATTAAAGTAACAAATTTATCTTTTTGAAAAATTATGCAGAATATAAACTGTTCTGTAATTTTATTCCTGTATATTGGATTTTAATTACCTGAAGAAGATGGCAGTTGGTCATAATCCTGGGATATTCTGTGGGCCTTTATATTTTCACCAGTTAATCTTCTAACAGGTGGTAAAGGAACTGAGCCATTTGTAGGATCAAAAAAAAGATCTGTGAAAGGAAAAATAAAGATCATTTTGTGTATTTCTGTTCATAGGACATAAATTTACAAAAAGGTAATTCAAAGTTAAAAAAATACACAAGAAATGAATGGTGTAATATGTTAAATTTTAATTCAATTGAATTGAATTGTAAGCTCTTTTCATGAAAAGGACTTCCTTCTAATGTGGACTTCACCTTTTTAATGGTTTACTTTGCTAATCAGAAAAATTGTGGTTAATTTTAATCAACTATTGAGATATACCATAAAGAATTCACAGAAAACCTGAACTAGAGTATTAGAAGTCTTAAACATACTAGTTGTCCTGAAATCTTCTCTATCTACTCATTTGCAGATTTGTTCCCCACTATCTGTTACTGCTTTGCTCCAATTGTATTTTATAAACTTTTAACATAGATCCACCCATGCAACAAAGCTTCTCAGAGCTTTTTTGTGGCTTTTTTGAAAAAAAATTAATGTGTGGCAAAACTTCCCCTCAGTGGGAAGAAAAAAGACTCCCTAGGTGAAGATACCTTTCATGAAAGGTGCTTCAAACCAAACATTATTGGCAAAGCATTAGTAAACACACGTATGTTCATCAAAGGAGAAGAGTTATATTTAACAGATTTAAAAAAAATAAATGTAATTAACTTTTCACAATAATGATTGGAACTTTTCAATCACTCAATAACTGTTTCAAATGGAAATAATATGAGAATAAATTATTGTGCAAGGTAGGGCTGTAGAACATTTCCAGACCAAGTGCTGCACTTCCTTTTCAATGGCATGCTGGGAGCTTCATTCCCTAAAATAATTACTAGGATCAGGGCAGTGGCTAAATTTGATTTCGCTTCATTTAGTTTTGCATTTAGTTAATATTAAATACAGTTATCATGATTACTCTCTAATTATGTTTTTAAATTTTTCTCTCATGTCCCTTTGTAATTTGAAAACCTTTAAAAGCCTCTGAGGACTACCCCTAAAGGCTTGTTAAAGCCTCATATAAAAAGATAGAAAAGCAAGTATTAGCAATATTCAATGAGAGAAGCATTAAAAAATTAGGACAGCAGTGAAATTTATAAAACGTATAAATTACGCAAAATTAGACTGTGCTAATATTACCATTTTATAAATGGTATCTCCATCAGCAATGCAGAGTCAACAGCTCCAACAGTTATAGATCCTTTAGTAAAAATAGTAAAAAAACAGTAAAAATCTACAGCAGAGAGAAAACAGAGCAGTAGCTATGGATCCTCCCCTTTTTGAATTGCCAACTTTGCTCCCTGCCTCTCACCTCCATTAATGTATTTTAGATAGTTCCAAGTTTTATCACCATTTTGCTGTTTATTCCCCACTTTTTAAAAAAGTCCTTAGACTTATATTTAAAATTTCCTTTGCTAAGGACTGAAGGAAACTCACCTGGTGCTATAAATCCTCCAGATCCAAAAGTTCCTAATAGCCGAAAGGCAGTTAACAAGAAATTTCTTACTGTTATTAGAAAATGAAGTATGCAAATTTAGCATCCTTTCAAAGGCGTCAAGCACAGTTTGAGCAAGATGGCTATTCCCACATCTCCCAGAGTGCTAAACCCACTGGAGACATTTGTGGTCTTCTCACAAGGAGCAGCTGTCTGGGGCATTTGTGGGTGATGTCAATTCTTCTCCTTGTCTGGCCAGCTCTTCACTCCTCTGTGGTTGTCAGTTCTGGTTTTTGCAGAGTTGTCTTTAATCTGCCATTTTTTCCCAGATGACAAAACTCCAAACATAAACTACTTCTTAATTTGCAGATCACTATACCATTAATAGTGTATATTTCGGAAATGTAGGAAATTAACTTGCCGATTTTTCTACATAACCTCATAACTTCAATTTTATAGTGTACTCCTCCAAATGCATGGTTAGATCTATGCTGACAGGCAGGTTAAATATTTGAGAACATTTTTTTATACAGTAAAGTAAATCTATACAGTAAAGTAAAATAATTATCACCATCTCTTACCAGTGGGAGGGTGGTATAATTCATGTCCAGACAGGGGTCTGTTTCCTGCAACAAGTGGTCTTGTTTGCTCAATGAAGCTATGTCGCGCAGGAGGTGGTGGAGGTGGAGGAAGGGAAGGTGGTGGATTGTCGGACAAATCTTCACCTGCATTGACAGAGAAATTATATAAACCCATCCAAAAGTTGATCTAGTAGTACAGTGATTTTAATACAGGTCATTCTTGACTTAGTATTATAATTGAACCTGGAATTTTGATCATAAATTGTGTTGTTAAGTGCGTCACCACCACAATACTTTTTGGGAGGAAAGATAATCGGCGCTACCTCAGCTCAGTTATTTGTGACCAACACTTTAGGATTCTAGGCTAGACTTGTCCATTTGCAGGAGCCAAACTCGTCAGTAGATAATGAATTTGGAGGGAAGAAATTTCTATTGAATCAGTCTTCAGTTAAACTTCAAACTATTCTGATTAATACTGTGTAAGTAAAATATCTTTAGCTAAAATGTCAGAATAAAGGAATTTTGCTTTTTTTGGGGGGGAGGGGGTTAAATCTTTTTAGCTCAGAATTTTCCTTTTGAAATGTAAACTTTTATGATAAGTCGGCCCTTTGAATTTGTGTCCAGACTCAACATTTCTGCTAATAGAAAGTCATATTTCTTCATTTGTAAGATATCGCCTTCCTTGGTCCAAATCAATCAATACATCACTGGGGGGGCCTATAGCCAATACTATATTAATGCTTGTTTTCCTTGAGTCAGGGTTATAAAACTATTCAGACTCTTCCATAGCTGACCCAAGATACAGCCCACATTCTGGTGACATCCCAATATCAGTACAGGCCTTTGAAGCCATTATACAAAATAAAAGTAAAGTTTCTTCTAGAGAAATTGTTCACCCCTGGTTTTAGGTTCTACAAATAAATCATTGAAACATATTACATAATATTCTAGTCTTTTTCTCTAAAATGAAAATACAAAAATTAAAAAGAATTTGTGAGCTGCTTGACAAATAACAGCCAGGCAAATTGAGGTAATTTGAGAAAACATGTCTTGATGAAACTATTAATCTAGTTTTTTTGAAACAGTTAAATCTTCCCCAATCCCAATTTAGGAATATAAATTAAAACAGAACACAGTATTATTTTATACTATTATAAATTATGCTGATATATTTATGATAATTTGAGATGGAATTCATTTCATTTTGATTTTGAATAAAATGTTCACATCTAGCTAAATTTACATGTGGAAGACAAATACATAAAACTGGACAAATCTTAATCTAATACTACTAAATATTAATACATCAAATGTATTATCACTTGCAGAAAAATGTATTATTATTTTGAACTGACTGTAGAATACTGATAGTCCTCAAATTAATACCACAATTGAGTCCAAACATTCTGCTGCTAAGTGAAATATTTATTAAATGAGTTTGCCCCATTTTACGACCTTTCTTGCCACAGTTGTAAAGTGAATTACTGTAGTTGTTAAATTAGTCAAACTGTTGTTAAGTGAATCTGGCTTCCCCATTGACTTTTCCCGTTAGAATGTCACAAAAGGGAATCACATGATCTTGGGACACTGCAACCGTCATAAATATGAGTCAATTGCCAAGTGTATAGTATGGTCATAAGTGTGAAAACTGATCATAAGTCACTTTTTTCAGTGCCGTTGTAACTTTGAACGGTCACTAAATGAACTGTTGTAAGTTGAGGACTACCTGTACATTCATAAAAATCAATGACGCATCATTTATTCGATACTTAGTGCAGGATCTTAGATTTAGTCTACAAATGGCTGTGTTTGAAAGATTTATTATAAGGAGCTTGCTTTACTGGAAAGAAAAAGAGAATATATAACCTGGAGGATGCACAAGCAAGTCATAATCAGAGGACGTTCTATTGAGTACAGATGCATGTTTCAAATTTTCCCTCAATGGAGGTCGCAGAGGCGGCAAAGGTATTGGAATAGTAGACTCAAAGGCTTCTCCTAAATACCAAACATTTAAAATACCTTAATTTTTAAACTTTCAAAAACAGCATGTTAATTTTTTCCCTCTAAACATGCACTACTCATACCTATATCAGGTTGTTTCAATTTTTTCATCTCAGATGAAGTATTGTGCATTTCACTACTTATTCCAGAGCACTGACCATTCTCAAATACACTGAAAACAAACATAAAACCTGTAGTTTTAGTCACATAGAAGTTACATGGAATCAGATGCAAAAATGAAATGCAAAATGAAGATACTTAAACTAGTACTAAGAAAATTTAACTTCAGACAACATCAACTTTCCCCCTCTGCCCCCATTTTAAAGACTACAGCACCAACTGCACTTGAACTCAATAGAGGCAGATCAGAACTCAAGCCAAATAAAGTTTGATGAAATGAGTGACAATTATAATTCATTTCATAATGTTTCTATAAAGGGAAATACAAACATGAATTCTTAGTTAAAATAAAATAAAAGAAATAAAATAAAATAAGAGAGGGAGGGAGGGGGGAGAGGGAGGGAGGGATATGGATGTATTTAATTTCTGTAACTGTCCATCTCAACAAGTGATTCTGAAAACAATTAAAACAGTACAAAATAAATATATATGAGACCAAATAAAATTTACTATGTATATTAATACAGCTTGGACACAGGGTCCTTAACACACTCACGGCCCCAAGCCTGGGCACAAAACCAAGTTTTCATGGCCTTGCAAAAGGGCAACAGGGTTAGGACCATCCTTGACTGACGGGATCTACAGCTTGCCCAATCTGTCTGACCAAATTGGACAGATAGAAAGAACTGTCCCTTAATAGCCCGATTGCAGATCATAAAAGGCTTTTCAAGCAATAACCAGCTCCTTGAATTGCACTCAAAACCACACTGGAATATTGGTAACTCACAAAACAGTGATATTACATGCATTAAACATTTTACTACACGTATAGCTACATTCTGTATCAGTTGAAGCTTCTGAGTGCTTTTTAAGGGCAGTCCCATGTAGAACGCATTGCAGTAGTTCAGAAAAAAGGTCACAAAGCATGAGTAACTTTCAGCAAAGCCTATCCAGAAATAGGTACAACCAGAGTCATCTTATAGGGGAGAAGGGTGGCACAAAATTTAATTTATATATCAATAAACTGGCATAGTATCCTAAGTTGTGCAAAGGCCCTTCTAGCCACCCCTGGCACCGGATCTTCTAGCAGGAACCATGACTCCAAGAGGACGCCCAGATTGTGCACTGGGTTCATCTGGGGCAGTGCCACTCCATCCAGAACTAGTGATGACAAAACCTTATCATCACAAGCCCCAAATACACAAAGATACTCTGTCTTCCTTGGGTTGAGTTGAAAACCAAAGTATCCCATCAATATTCTTACAGCCTCCAGGCACTGACATAGGACAGGTAGTCCAGAGTGGAGATACAAAGCTAGGTAGCATCAGCATATGGATGAAACCTTATCCATGACTGTTGGATCTCCTCACCCAGTGCCTTCATGTGACTGTTACATAGGACAGGACAGAGAACTGAGCCCTGGGGTACCCCACAAAGTAGGGGCCATGGGTTAGAACACTACCCCCATCAACTCCAACTGGAATGGAGCCTGGAGAAAAAAGGAGAATCAGAGCAATGTTGCTCACCCCAATTCCCAAAGATAATCTGGAAAGAACCGTGATCAATGGAATTGAAAGCCACTAAGAGATTAAGAAGAACGAGGACAGTCACACTATTCCCACTACTGCCAGAGGTCATCTAAGAGAACAGTCACTGCTGTCTCAGTCCTGTACACAGTCAGAATCCCTGACTGAAAAAGGTCCAGATAATTTGTTTCATCCAGGATTCTCTGCAGCTGCTACACAACCATCTTATTTACAAGCTTTCCTAAAAAAAGGGAAGATTGTAGACTGGACAAATGCTAGACTGGTTGAGTCAGGACATGACTCCTTCAGGACAGAGTGCACTAATGCCTTCTTAAGAGTTGATGGAATTACCTCCACTCTCAAGGAGTTATTGATTACTGCCCAGACCCAATCGTGTTTAGTGTCTCTGTCTCTGTCTCTGTCTCTGTCTCTGTCTCTGTCTCTGTCTCTCTCTCTCTCTCTCTCTCTCTGTGTGTGTGTGTGTGTGTGTACTTGCTGAAATATGTTAAAAAGGTGATATTCTATGAAGACATTTAAGTATAAGTATTAAAAGCTGTGAATTATATTCTGAGAATGTATGTCAGCAAAGTCTATTCTTTGTGTGAAAAAAAAAACTAAGAACAATGCCTAAAAATTTAGCAGAAAGGTACTGAAACCTGATACCAAAATATTTTAAATTCTGGGTAAAGATGTAATCTTAAAAATAATATTATGATTAACAATAATCAAATATAAAACTAAACTGAATGTCATATCAAATGGTTCTTTACCATCATCTTCAAATAACCTTACCGAGTATGAGACTTCATATTATGGCAATGAAGTGATTGTGAAGGCAAAGAAACAGGATGGGATGAAGGAATCTTGTACTCATCTTCTACATGTTCTCTTGATTTTTCCGAAAAGGAATTTATAACAGCAACAGAAGACCTCAAGAGAAAAGTACACCAAATCCAGATGAGTTTTTGTTGGTATAGAAAATAAATATATCAATCACTGCATTTACAAATGGATTTAATTACATTTTTTTCTATTTTATTGCCACAACAAAGCCAAAAATAGAGTAGGTATGTGCATTTAATGAGATACAAATGTGTTCCACTTCCTTATGGAGGTTGTGCACTTTGCTCTCGTCTCTCTTTTTCCACAAGCAAAGGAGACACTCAGAAATTTCCAGCTTTGATTAACTACAGCTTTCTTTGCAAAACAAATTCAGATGTCTCAAAACAGAGAGAGACAAAGCAAAGTAGTTTAAGCCATACAATGTTATTTTTTAAAAATTAGAAGAACTGAATATAAAATTAAGGAATCATAGTTGTATTTTCTTTAAATAAAATTTGAAATGTTGTACGTGTCAAAAAAACAATTGTTCCATGGAAATATTTCAACAAATTAACAAGTCATCGATCATTTATAATGCAAATTATCACTAAAACATATATCAAAATACAAGATACTATGAATTTATTTCCATAAGATCCAAAGACAATGGTGTCTTCCCAACTCTGAGAGTTCAATCTCCAAAGAAAATTTTAGGAACTGTAATTAATTATGTACGGATATTTTAAAAGCAGGCATTTAAGACATTTAGATGGTATTATAGAACTCAAAAGATTCTGATTATACTTGCAAACACCCTAAAGTGTAAGGGCAAAGTTATGGTTTGTTGGTGTCCATTTTGGTTAGCTTTAGAACAATTAAAAATCAAAAAATGGGGGGGGAAATACCCAATGTGATGCGAAGAAGTAAAAGAGATAACTAGCTTCAAACTATAATTTAGGGGGAGTTTCATGAGAAAGGGAACATTTTTCTTCCAAAACAGGGTTTTCACTATTAGGCATTTTGTATTACACAAACTGTAAGTGTTTCAAAGCACTTCAAGCTATATAAAATATAACCAAAAGGAAGGTGGCTTTTAAAATTAATTTATTTAATAAAAAGTATGTAACATTCAATGAAATATAAGGTTTATAAAGATAAAATGCAAGAATTTACTACTTTTTGTAAAGTCTCTGAAACAAGACAAAACAGACGTGTTTTTTAATCAGTATCCCAAATGAGTATTTCATTTGCCAGCAGGAACATTATACAAAACTACAGAAACTGGATTAATTGTATTAACGAATATATATGTGATTCAAGATTATACTTGAACTGAAACTATTAATTTGACATCTAGCATTGATCATTTCAGATATAACATTTATAACATTTTTCAACTATAAGAACCATATCAAATGACACCAATGATCTCACATTCAGTTGTCAAGGATAGTGCTTCTATGACATACTTTATGCATCTGACATACCATCTTATGATCTATCTAATGAATAGATGATAAGCCCTGGCAAGTTCGATTTACTCTAATAAGTTTTATGTTGGCAAGATCAAAACTGGATTTTGGAATGCCTGCTTAAGCATAACTTTGTGAGCAAATGATACTATAGACATATGAGATACTATTTTTGATTATGTAATTTAATTGACCTATTGAATATGTACAGACATTTATTTTTTACAATATGTTTTAATAGTATACAGTATAATAAAACAAACAAAAGTTATATTTATGTAGTTACCAAGCACATCTAAATTATATTAAAGTAACCAAACTGTCTTTACAATCCCCAAGGCAGTCACAACTTTTGAGCACCCCTAATGTTTGGAAATTGAAAGCTGAAAAATTTGACTCGCCCCAATATACAGTATACGTTCTTAATTTACAATGTATGTTATTAGTTATTTTTTTTCTTGTTTTGCAATTTTAATTCGGCTTTATTCATTTCTATATTTTAAAACTTGTTATTTTAAATCACCTGGAGTTGTATGAGATGTGCAGTATATAATAAATGAATAAATGCTAACTAAATAAATAATTTTATATTAATTATAAATAATGATATGGGGCTGCTCTTGAAAAGTATCCAGAAGTTTCAATTGGTTCAAAATGTGGCAGTCCACATGGCTTTATGCAGGCCTAGATATACACATGTGTCATCTCTCCTGCGGCGACTGCATTGACTACTGATCCACTTCCAGATCCAATTGAAGATGCTGGTTGTCACCTTTAAAGCCCTATATGACTTGGGACCAGGTTATTTGAATGATCATCTTTTCCCAGTTATATTTACCTGACCCACCAGAGTGGAAGGAGCAGGGAATGTTACTGGCCCCTTCTCCTAAGAATGTTCATCTAACAGGACCAAGAAGAAAGGCCTTCTCCATGATGGCTCCCTCCCAGTGGAAAATTGGGATAATTTGAGATAAGATTGGCCCCAGTACAACTTTCAAAAGGCCCTGAAGACATGTCAACGAGCCTGGTGACTTCAGATCGAGATAGAGCCTATCAAGTGGTTTATTTGATTGATAGTTGTCATCACGGGAATGGGGTGGAGGGTTACTGCTTGTTACTGTTTTTATATTGCGCTTTTAAACTGCCCAGAGTTACTGACAGTGAGTTAGGCAGGAATATATATTTTCATAAATAAATGAAATACATTTCTGATGTTTTGCCACATATATTTTTTTAAGAAAAACCTTAATAGTTTCATGTTTTACCAACTGCAGTGCATATCATGAGGATTCTGTAAAATTTCAGCTTTAATAAAAATAAACTATTTCCTCAAGATCCACTCAGATAGTCCTGCATCTGGTACTTAATGATTACAGGTTTTTTTTGACTAGAAAGAACACTCTTGCTTTTATACTTTCAGCCTAGAATAAACAGTTAATGGGAATCTATAAAAGAGGTGGTATGAGAGATATTTATCATATCATCAGATTAATAAGAATTTAAAGATATGGGGAAAGGGATTATAACTAGTGGTGAAAAACAGCATTTATGAAACAGAGTCCTATAGAGGAAAAAAAGACAAAAGAAAATATCTTATTAAAAGTCCTTTTATCAGCACTATACACAATTCTATATTTATTCTCCCAGATATTTGTCTAATTTATGGGAGACTAGAAGGAAAGAATGATGGTGACTAAAAATTGACCATTCTATCTCCCTTAGAGAGGTTAATTTCAAATTCTGAATTTTTAGTTTGAATTTTTAGGAAAAGTAAATAGTTTTTTACTCTTTTCCATTTTTATGATGGTAATTTGGGGTTCATCGTAACCCGCTTTCCTCAAACCTGGATACTACAACTGCTGAATCTTTTTAAAAAACTGCTTTTGAAACATTTTCATCAAAATTCTTTCAATGACTTCTATAATTAAGCATTATTTGTGTGAATATATGCCTTCAAATCAGTGTTGATGCCTGGCGAGTGTCTGGAAAACTCTTTACAGTTTCATTGGCAAGATTTTGGAACTGTTTTGCCACTTTCTCCTCCGTACGGCTGCGAGAGGGGGCATGGTTCATGGTCACCTAGAGGCTTTATGACAAGGTAGAAATAGAACTTATAGTCTCCTAGCAGTTGCCAGGATTTATGAAAAGTTCCGGAGAGAGCCTTTCGGGAGGTAAATCTACTCTTCCCCCATTTTAGAAAATGTTTTTTATCATTATTTAAAAATGAAATATTAGATCAACCTAATGACTCCTAAAACAGACTTTATTTCTCCTGACAAAAAGCCTATTGTTTCAACAAACAGATGAAAGAGAAGATGGTGGGTTAATTTTAGAAACTACTTTTTTCACTTTAGTGAATCCCATATTGACACAAAATTATTATTGCCTTATTAACTGATTTTTCAGAGCTTTGTATGCATCACAAATTCTGCATTTTTAAGACTTCAGTAAAGATCTATGTTTTGTGATTATAATTATGAAATGCCTATTAACAGAATCTGAAGGATCCATGATATGGTAACTTTCAATATTTATTCACAGCCTTCTTTAATGCTCTTCTATAATATTTTTATTATTTATATTTTTAAAATTCATATTTGAACACCACTTCTAGATAAATGAAGATCTGAAAAGTCCAAATTTGTGAACATATTCTACTCAATACATAATTCTAATTCATAAAAAAAAAAAACTGCATCCTCATAATTTATATAATTAATGTTCTTAAAATTGAACTTACTTCATATTTGGCATGGCTGAAACAACTGGAGGGGGAGGTGAAATACGAGGTGGAACATCATATTCTTCATTACCTAGATGGCCATTTGAAAATATCTGCAATAGATAGATTTCACAGGATGGTAATTTGCAAACTATATGCAAGTAAAATGCTCATTTACAACATTTTGAACCCATTCTCATCTTTAATTTCATGATTCATTCTGCCTATCATCAATATCAATTTCATGTGTTCAGCACTATAAATAATTCAGCTAAGGTTTCTTTCACACTTTTTAACAGAACAGAATATGTAACAAATATAACAGATATCTAGGAGAGCAGCAGCTCGAACTAAGAAATTTCCTGACAGTGAGAACAATTAACCACTGGAACAGCTTTTAGAATGGTGTGGATGTGGATGTTCCATCATTGGAGGTTTTTAAAAAGAAATTGGAAAGCCATTTGTCAAGAACAGTATAAGGTCTCCTGCTTGTGCAGGGAGTTGGACTATAAAGCTTCCAAGGTCTCTTCCAACTGTTATTCCATTTTGTATTTTGTTATGTAATTAATTTAGCTAGGGTTCCCTCAAACACTTTAATAAGCATATTCCTTAAAAATGTCTGATATAGAATTTTTTGTTTTTAGTTATTTTACTATACAATTTTCAAATAAATTATAATAGGCCACTAAAATATATATTACATTTACTCTTATACTGTACTATTATTTAAGCATTCATGTTCATTAAACTTCATATATTGTATCATGTATCTTCCAATAGTAATTATGACATTAGAATTGTTGCAGAAATCTTGTATCATAACACATGCAATAATGTTTTCTACTGATATCTGAATTTGCAGTAAGTCCAATTATTATTTCCTATAAATGATTTCCTATTATTTAATTATTCCATACACTTCTCAACAGCATCAGACTTCAAGTTCAATATTCCTAACTAAAACTAAACTTCATGCATCATACCATCTGGCTCTTACCTTGGTACCTTCTAAAGGTAATTCAGGGAATCTGTGCTTTCGTAGAAATAATGGGTCAGAACCCATACGACAATGTCTTCCATTCATATTTGAGCTTGCAGTAAGTCCAGGTTTGGGACAATTATCATTTCCTACTATACGACATCCCACAATTTGATTATTCCCACACACTTCTCTGGGGCACCAGGCTTCAAGTGGCATTGGTTGTTCTCTGGCAGATACACTTTCAGGATGATGCAAATGTCTACTTAACCTATTATCTGGAGGAATGGGTGGAGGCCTTTCTGGTGGAGGTGGAGGTGGATCTCGTATTGGTGGTGGTGGTGCTGGAAGAGGCTTGTCTTGTTTCCTCATCATACCTGGAGAAGACTGAGACATAACACAAAATAAAATGCTTCATTAAGTATATAATCTATACTTAGTGACAAATACAGTATTTTGTATAGTCACTTTAATTCATACATCACTGGCTAAAATGATCAGCATGAAATTAAAAATTAATATTGTAAAATTATTTGAATGAATCAATATAAACACACCCAAATATAAAAGCAAACCCATGTTATAAATTAAATCCAGAAGCCTAATCCTTCAGTGTCAGTTAAAATGATAACATTAATTAAAATATCAATGAACAAACAAGTAAAATAATTAACTTTATAAGGTATCTTGTAATTTTTGAAAAGAACCTAGACTATATAGAAAGTATCAAAGTATCAACACAGGAAGGAGATTAGGATGTTGGTTTGAGCTTGGCAATTTGGTTGCAAATGTTTCGAAATCCATTCAAGGAGACATCGTCAGTTCAAAACACACGGATGATGTCTCTTCGAATGGTGACAAAACGTTTGCACATTTCAGCAGGAAGGAGAGCACAGAGTTAAATAGTGAAGACACATACACCAGTTTATATGCTTTACTTGTTCTAATTATTGTTTGCTTTTCCAAATACACAAAATATTGACTTCGTGAAAAGAGAAGCAAAAGCTTAGGTGCAGGAATGATTGCAAGTTAATCGATTTCACTGGATTTGAATAAAAGCAGATAAACCCTGAGAACAACAACTAAAGAGGTGGTCAGTATGCTTCTAAGAAAAATAATGTTACATTCCTAAGTTCTATTACTAAATTGTACTTTTACCTTTGGTGAGTTTGTCGGGCTGGCACAAGGGGATCGGGAAACTCCTTTCTGTATTAGGTCCAATCGAGGAGGTACTGGTGGAAGGGTAAGATGGGATCCTTGTATGGGATCAGGAAATGGTTTCCTTCTTTGAGCAAGAGGAGATGATCCTGGAGATGTCACTGGGGAATTCTGTCTTTCATTACACTGCAACAGAAGATGTTATGAAGTATGTCATATTCACCATTCAGGGAAAGCACCAATTTGCAAGTTCTTACTAGGCACCTGTCAATTATAACAATATAAGATGTTTAGACTGGATTTGGCATTTTTTGTCGCTCTATCGAGTCTTTCCCAAGGACCTGGGACAGGCAGATGTGGATGTTTGATGGTGTTAGAGATATCATCTCAGGATGCAAGCTGTTTTGGGTAAAGCTGCTTTTTCAATTGACTGATGGCGCATTTGTCAATGCCAATGGTGTTCAAGTGGTGCTCTAGTTGTTTTAGGATTGCACCCAAGGAACGTATGACTATTGGTGCTACACTTGCTTGCTTTCTATTTCTATTTGCAGGTCTTTGTATTTTATTATTTACTTTATTAATATTATATCCCACTTTTAAAGGAGCACTTAGCAAAACTCGGCTCTTCTTTTTCTTCACAATTTTATTCATAAATCACACTCTCTGCTCATTTAGCAACCACAATCTGTTTCTTAAATCATAACAGAAATGGTCATTAAGTAAACAAGTGACTGAAAGAGATACATGTTACAAAAATCACTGGTTGCTGCTCTCTCATTCAGGTAAGTTCTCTCATACAGTGTCCTATGCCAGACCCGTTTTGCTTAAAAAAGCTATTTATTCCTGACCTGCTTTTCTCCAGAGCAGTCCTTTCCTAAAAAGTGCTAATGGCAAGTTGACAAGCTCATCTCTGTGACCTTAAATAGTTGATCCATCCATTGCTGACTGAAACTGACCAGCCCTTATTCAATTTCACACTGAAAACTTGTCCTGCCAACAAAATTCCGTAGAAAATGTGCGCATTTTGATTTTTTGTTTTTAAATTTATTACCACCATGGTATTTATGAAATTGCTTAAATGCTGCTAAATGAGGGGTACCTATAGTTCCGTCAGATTTGGATGAGAACTTCATAAACAACTAATAAATTTGGTGTTAGGGTTGTTAGATACCCTCATTCTGATTCACTAAATTGTTTCCTTCTTGGAACAGAACAGAGGAGAAATTGTCCGCTTTTGACAGCCTTTTATCCCACTTTTGCCAGTTAACATTCAGTATTTTGTTGGCTTTTAATAAATAATTATTTGAATTTTCATCTTCATGAAATGTTTAATAACAAAGCAAGACATGATAAATCTGCTTATTCTTTTTCTATTTTTACCCCATACTTTTAATATGTCACTTACTAATGAATGTTCTCTCCTAAAATGTTTCTTTATATCAAGCCAAACGTTTGATTGTAACTTGTAAAACAAGTGGAAATCCTCTCCCTCAACAGAGGCAACCCAGCAAAAGTCAATATAATCTAGTCTATTATCTAAATTAGACCACTAGCGTTATACAATTTGAAGTTTCATACTGCTTGACTACCTCACTCTTTGGAATCTTGTAATATCATTTATGCCGGTCTATTACTATAATAAAGATTTGATTGATTCTAATGACTTAAATTTAATCCTCAATCTTTTGTTGGACCACTTAAAGTTAGTTATTTCTCTCTGTCAGTAATTTAGTGCTCTATCTTTAGTTTTTATTAGAGTTCTTTAAAATAGAAAACTAAGCCTTAGCAGAAGGATCCTTACCGTTGGATGTTTTCTGAAACAAGACTGTTTTTGCTTTCTGCAGTTATTTGCCATTATGTTTTTCAGGAGGTAATTTGTTTTTAAAAAAGGATCTTAAATTACTAGGTATTTCATTTTTATAACAGTAATGCCATTTCAGTTCTTTAATCTGATACTTTGGTATTGAACCATACTGTGTAAGATCAATTCTAAAGAGTTCTTTAAATAAGTAAATGTAAAAAGACTATCATCGGAAAATAATTTCAATTTCTGTTCTCAAGTTTACTAATTTGTTTCCTGAAAATATATTGGTGCATATATGCATGTCTGCATATGTGTATGTTACATACACAGACGGACATAAAATTATACCAGTGGCCAACTTTATGCAGGCTGGATATCAGCCAGCACTCAGCATGATTGCCACCTAGCCAAGAAATTCAAGCGAACCCAAATTGTGACATTGTTGTTAATGATTTTGTTTATATTTGCTTCCTTCTTTTACCTTCATTTATGTTCTGGCCTAGGCTTTTGAGACAGTAAAAACCACACAATTAGTCCCCAAAACCCTCTTTTTATTTCAAACGCTGTGAATTCTGTTCATTCCCAGCCCGTGATGAGTCACAAATAGTTTTTAAAGAGTCCGACAGAAATCTGCCACAGTCCTTCGGGATAAGGCAGATAAGCACCCACCTTTATCTCCCTTAACACGCTGCCAAAGACCTAATTGGCAATTAGTTTTGCAAGGCCACATGGAGCACAGAGTCAAAATGGAGCTTCAGAATCTAAACCGACAGCACAAAAAAATCGCTTTCTGAAAAGGCTCACATGCCTTTGCTCCTCCTTTATTTCTTATGAGAGGGGCCAATCATCTCCAACCCTTACTCCTGAGTCGCCCCTTTTGTCTTAACTATTCTTGCCTTCTGGCAGCTCTGTGCATGCGCGCACTGGGAACAGGCTCCCCCTGTTCCTCTGCCTCACTGACATCAGGCTCTGGAGTCAGCATATAACTCCACGATGGCCCTGACCCTATCTCAGCCTCCGACGCAGAGCCCTCATCCGAGCCTTCCTGAGAATCCAGGACTGGCTCATGTTCCTCTCCAGCCTCCTCACTGTCAGACTCTGCTGCCAGCTCCGCAGCGGACCACAAAATTTATTGATTTCCATTTGCAAATTAAGTGGGAGAAGTTCTAGAACTCTATCCCCAAATTATCTTATATAGGGTAGGCAACAGTACTAAAGGCATAAACACAGCTTAAATATACCCACTATAAAAATTTGTTCTACATATGATAAGCCTACTTTCAATCAAGTTTTATGAGATCTCTTAGAATTTTTTATTTAATCCTCAGAACATTCAAATGGGTTGAAATATAGTAAAATATGAAAGATATTAGCAGTACATGCATAATCAGTTATGGAAAGATCTTCAGCTATAAATTGCATACATATATGAAGTGGTGACAAAATAGGTTGGCAGGAACCCCTGGCTCAGCAGTTGCTAACAAACTACAATATCATTGATACTAGCAATTGTAGTTCAGCAACATTTGGATTGATACAGCTCGCTATTGTAGAAATCAATCTTCAACTGTAATTAGCTATTATAATTAATGGAATATCAGAGTGAATCTGTCTCTGATACCTGGTTTTAGATAGAAAACATAGGAAATACTCATGTATCCATACCTTTCTCATGGAAGCACTTAGATTGCTAGAGTTAGAAATAAGCTGCTGAGCTAAATGGTTTTCTATAATAATACAAAAGGATTCTTCTTATTTTCCAACATTCTCCATGAAATAGAGAGAATGCATCAATTTACAGGCAGTGAATATGCAATGATGTAATTTAGTCTACTAGTTCATATTTTTACGCAACAGTTCGTTTAGTCAGTGTTCGAAGTGACAATAGCATTGAAAGAAAGATTTATGATCGGTTTTCACACTTATAACCATTGCAAATTCTTTAATCTAGGGATGTCAAACTCAAGGCATGGGAACCAAATCCAACCCGCGGAGTGGTTAGATCTGGCCCGAGAGGCCACCATGGAAACAGTGAAGGACCAGCCTGCAGTGCCTCTGCTGAGAAAACGGAGCTCGGGAGGGCCATTGGCAACCCTCCTGAGCTCCATTTTCACTGGCAGAGGGTTGCAGGAGGTTGCCACAGCCGAAAACAGAGATTGGGAGCCCATTTTCACTGCCAGAGCGCTGGGCCTCCATAGGCACCCCTGATGCAAGTGACATCGAGCTCACCATGCCCACCCTGGCCACGCCCACCCTAGCCCCTGAGATCAAACACAACCCTGATGCGGCCCTCAATGAAATCGAGTTTGACACCCCTGCTTTAATTGATGTGTAAATTATAATTGCAAACTACAAAGTCATTGCATATTTCAGGAAAAAGAGAAGTACCTTTCTCACAGAAGCTAATCGATTCATCATCAAACACTCTTCTCTGTCATCATCATCATCGAAATCAAGCATAGGAATACCAAAGCTATCCAAAATACTGCAGCATCTTATGTTTTCATCTCTGGGATCAAAGGGATCTACGATTATGGGTTCAGTTCCTTTGATTTCACAACGGCAAAAAGGACATCCTTGACCATCAGATTCCTGAATTATGAAAAACAAAAATGTTTAAATGCTGAGAACTATTTAGCACTATTTTACTACATAGAAGATTATTAACGTAATGAAAAACATATTAATAGTATTTTTAAAAACACAGATACAAATATGGAGACAAAGAGAGGGAGAAAAAGCTTCAAATGAATAGCAGCACCAGCAATTTTCTATTACATACGATGTTGGGAAAGACCAATGGCAGTTGGACAGACTATCACACTCTTTGTTTTTACATAAATAAGATACATTCATGCCTTTTTGTCAATCTTAATATATCTCAAACATACTTAGAAATTAGAAAAAATGATATTATTCCTCATGTTAGGGAATTTAACTTACCCATCAGGGGTTCACAATCCCTGGTGATCACAAAAAAGGAAGTGCAAGATCTATTTCACAGACAAAAGCCAGGAAAAGCACCAGGCCCAGACAAGATAACTCCTTCTTGCTTAAAAGTCTGTGCTGACCAATTGGCCCCATCTTCACCTGAATCTTCAATAAATCACTAGAGATGTGCTATGTTCCTTCTTGCTTCAAATGCTCTATCATCCCAGTGCTGAAGAAGAGCTCCATCAAGAAACTGAATGACTATAGACCAGTTGCTCTAACATATGTAGTTATGAAAACCTTTGAAAGGCTAGTGATGTCCCACTTGAAAACCATAATAGATCTGCTGTTAGACTCCCTGCAATTTGCATACCAAGCAAATAGATTGACAGATGATTTGTTAATATGGTTCTGCACTACCTTCTACAACATCTTGAATCTCCAAAGACCTATGCAGGATCCTCTTTGTAGACTTTAGTTCAGCATTTAATACCATCATTCCAGATATTATTCTAACTAAACTAAACCAGCTAGCAGTACCTGCACACACTTGTAAGTGGATCATAAGCTTCCTAACAGACAGGAAGCAGCAGGTGAAGCTAAGCAGAATCACATCAGATACCTATACAATTAGCACAGGGGCCCCCCCAAGGATGTATGATGTCTCCTCTTCTCTCTATATACCAATGAGTGCATCTCAAACAATCCATCTGTTAAGCTACTGAAGTTTGCAGAAGATACAACAATGATTGGTCTCATTTGAGACAACGATGAATCCGCATACAGACAGGAGGTTGAACAACTAGCCTCAAGATGCAACCGGAACACACTCAAAACCGTAGAAATGGTGGTAGACTTTAGGAGAAACCCTCCCATACTACCACCTCTTACAATACTAGACAACACAGTATCAACAGTAGAGACCTTCAAATTTCTAGGTTCTATCATATCTCAAGACCTAAAATGGATACCTTACATCAAAAACGTCATCAAAAAAGCACAACAAAAAATGTTCTTTCTGTGCCAACTCAGGAAGCTCAAACTGCCCAAAGACCTGCTGATATAGTTCTACAGAGGAATTATTGAGTCTGTCATCTGCACCTCTATAATTGTCTGGTTTGGTTCTACAACGCAACAAGACAGACACAGACATCAGAGGATAATTAGATCTGCAGAAAAAACAATTACTATCAATCTTCCATTGAGGACCTGTGTGCTGCATGAGTCAAAAAGAGGGCTGTGAAAATATTTAAGGACCTCTCACATCATGGACATAAATTGTTTCATCTCCTATACTCAAAACAACCCTATAGAGCACTGCACACCAGAATAACTAGACACAAGAACAGTTTTTCCCCGAACACATCACTCTGCTAAACAAACAATTCCATCAACACTGTCAAACTATTCACTAAGTCTGTATTACTATTACTATTCTCATCGTTCCATCACCCATCTCCTCCCACTTATGACTAATACTGTAACTTGTTGCTGTAGCCTTATGATTTATATTGTTTCCTAGTATGATTTGATTGCTTATTTGTACACTATGACTATCATTAAGTGTTGTACCTTATGATTCTTAATGAATGTATCTTTTCTTTTTATGTACACTGAGAGTATATGCACCAAAGACAAATTCCTTGTGTGTCCAATCACACTTGGCCAATAAAGAATTGTACTGTATTGTATTGTACTGAAAAACACAATATTCTTTACTTATCAAAGAATGAGGTAATATGTACTGTTTTGGGAATATTGCATAATATTTTATAATAGTTTATTGTTGACACCAGATGAAAAGATGCATGCTGCTATTTGTGAGACTTTTTATCTGATTGATTAGTTACCATCATTTGGTGTTGACTCTTAGCAACCACACATTTTAGTTGTGAGAAAGTAGTGCAATAAGCTAATGATCAGAAACCTATTTAATGCAGGATTCTTTTAAGAAATCTATATTCAATGCACTTACATCAAATATTTCATTAAGAAGTTTAAGGCGTTTTCTCTTTTAATTTTTACAACAATCCTGTAAAACAGATTGTAGCAACTCGTCAAAAGTTACCAACAGAATTTTATGGCTGTTTGCGTATGCAAATATGGATCTCCTTAGTCCAATCATCACATTGCAGTGGCTTTATAGCCAATACCGCTTATATATTATTTAACTCATATTTGATTTTTAGAACAGTGGAGCTGCAACTTACATAGTGAAAAGTTTAGGGCTGAGGAGTATAATCTTTTAGTTTACTAAGGACTAAACTGATGTCAAATCCTAAAGTCTCATATCAGAAGAGCCAACTACCATTGTCAATCCTTCTTAGGCATTTATACCATTACTTATAAATATGTAAAATATATACTTTTAAATTTTTAATACATAAATTAGGCATTTAATTTACTGAAGTCTTTTTAAACATTATAATGCAAACCAAGATTTAAAAAAATACATGCATGTGCCCACCTATATAATTCAGTTTGGGTTTTGGGCATGTACTTGTCAGATTTTAAAATGTTTACTACAGAAAAAGTGCCAATTTATTCAATGACTTCTGCTTTATGCTTTAAGTTAAGTTAGGGATCTATGCAAAATTATATAACAATAAAAAAGCAAAATATGGCTATAGTAATATATACATAGAAATCAATTAGAAACCTTTGTTTAGAGAAAAAATTCATCTCATCTTACCTTATTTTAGTTGTATTTTTATTTCAGTGCCTTTAAAACAAAGGATACCCAACATGCACAGGGACTGATCGACCTTCGGCATAAAATATCATGCAAATGTGATTTTGTATTCACTAAGGAGCTGGGAGTAACTTATTTTATTAAGTAAAACAGATGCTTTATTATGATAAAAAACTACCAGAACTCTCTCCTTAGGCATCTCTAACGAGCCATTATGACAGCAATTAAACACTAACCATTGGCAAGTAGAAACTGAACTGCTGCAGTATATTCCCTTCATCAGCTTGTTAATTATACAGAAGTTAAATGTGCAGTGAAATTTATTTTAAACGAAATGACTGTTAATGAAGGAAAACCTAATACTCCATTTACTTGGATGTCACTAGCTAGTTACAGCTTGACTATATATTAAATGTTTTTGTTTTATTAAAAAGCTACATTCCCACTGATGCTATGACCCAGAAAAATTCTATGATACCGTGCTTCTAATTCTATATTGTTTTCACAACTGCTTCCACGAGAACATCCCTATCAATGAATAAATGGGAAGATATTTTTTAAAAAGAGGATTCCTATCATTTATGCAGCCTCTTTATATTATAGTTAATTTTTCTGATTAAGTGATTTCAGAAGTTACAAGTCAATGTTGCAGATATTCTTAGTGACTGAATATTCATCTTAGGTGGGAGAATTATACTGTTGGTTGATTTTTGTCTCATTTATTTGAGAATATTTTTCTTTCCATGCTCAGTTATGTCCCCTTGCTATTACAAGTGTCAAACCCTTAACAGCTACCTACAAACAAAAAATAATTCAGAGTATTCTTTAAACAGATTTACTACAAAGGACAATAGAATTAAGTTACATCAAACTTGGAAATGTTAAATTCAATAACCAGGTTTGTTAGTACCCAGTTTTTTAAATCTTCTTGCTAACTACCACCTACCCTACACTGCATTTTCCTGATAAAGAATATAAAAGTGTTCTACACTTACAGTATTTGAAAGAAGTTATGCTATTTCTCTACATATGAATAAACTATCATTTCAAGATTTATTCCTACAACTAAAACATTAGTTAATGTATCAATACAAAAAAGAATGAGAAGTAGAAAAAGGGCATGTATGAATTTGATTACAGAAGGACAGTTACCTGCCATGCAGTCAGGCAAGATGTACACATCAAATGTCCACAAGGTTCAATCTTCACATCTTTGTCATTTTCAGCACAAATTTTACAAAGCTGGAATGTGGAACCCATTTCACAATATAATTCATATTGTTCCTGAAAAGGAATGACTGCAATGAAGAGCCTCTGAAAATGATAATATAAGAGCTACTTGGCTTACCATTCAGGTTGTAACTTTTACATCATAACATATACTAGTAAGACAAATTCTTACTGAAGATATTCATATATTTATATGTTATTGTTTTTTCAAATACATGAAAATATATTTATACAAAATTTCTATTGCTCATAAACCATAAAAAAACCACCCACCCAGCATTGTAATGCCTTAACTAAAATAAATTATTCTGATTCAAATCTGTTGCACAAGAATCTACTTCATCAGAGAAATAAAGCATAATTTGGTTTTATTCAAACATTACCAGTAGAGACAGAATTTTTAAGTAGAGAGCCAAAGACAAAAATAGTCTTTTGAATCCCATCCCAAAGCCTACCATCAACTGCATCAGTTAATGATAAAAGGACAGTAGTTCATTAAAATTTGCCCTAATAGATTAATTCAGGTTTCAGAAATCACGAATACTTTTTGTGATTTATCTAAACGCATCAAGCCTTTTAGAAAGGAATATTTTTATGATATTTATTGGATTTGGTATTATTTAATAAGTAACTTTTTTGGTAATACAATTATTATAATGGCAGTAATACAAAGTCTTGACCAGCAGGAGAAACTGCGCTTAAAGTATATATTCTTAAAGTATATATTTCTTTTAGAATTTTAAACAAAGATTTGTTGCTGCCTCCTAGCCATTATTGAAATAAATACATTTAAAGTTAGGGGAAAATACAAAATATGGGTAAAAAATCCCAAAATACTGTAAAAAAAGTTAAATAGAACAATCTTAAACTTCAAAGTGATGAAAGAGAATGGAGTAAAACTTAAACAAAATGATAAAAAACAACTTAAAAAATCCACCTGTCCCTTTGTCATGATTAATTTTCTGAAAATTAAATGAAAACTAGTTTGGGTTAATTTTTTTCCATAGGAATAACAAATTCATTAAACTAATATGCTTATAGTGATGCATACTTAAAAGTATCTGAAGTACTGGTATCTTGGCAAATCTTTTCTTAATATGGTTAGCCCAGTCCAAACTGGATTTTAAACTCATACTCAGAATTTTCATGGTCCTTGAGATGTGTTGAACTGCTGTCTCCAAAACCCTTCATCACTACAGCCATTCTGACTGCTATCAGCCTAATGATCAGTTATCATCATTAGGAGACACAATACATAAACTGTTTTAAAAATGTCTATATACATATACACCCACACAGATATATATATATATATAAATAAATCCTTAATGGATATGAATGAATAACATACACTCCAAGTGAATAACATACAATATACCTGTGTAACTTTTATATGATCATGTGGAATAGGTTCACATAGTCCTGTCAGATCAGGATTATAACTTCGTCCATCTGGATAAAGATAGCTGAAATGGAAATAAATGTTTGGCTCTTCATTTATATACCTATTGAATACTTAGATGATGAGTGAACAGTTTTGCTTTTTCCATTACAAATAGTCTTCAGTTAACTATGGTAATTGAGACAAGAATTTCCATTGCTAAGTGATGTGATTGTAAAACTTGATGTCATATAGCACAACAGTGATGACAGTTGCAGCAGGCCAGTTGCCATCATTAAGTAAGGACTACATGGGTTTTTAAGCAAGGATCTCACATGGCTGACTTACTGGCAGCCTACCCATTGACTTTGCTTGTGGAAAGCCAGTAGGAAGTCACAAATTGTAATTATGACTGTGGATTATTGCAATTGTTGGAAATCTGGGCTGGTTGCTAAGTGCCTGGATCATGATCACGTACAGTAACTGGGAAGTTTCATTTGTAACTACCATTTATTCAACACTATCACAAATTGGAACCATTGCTGAATGAGTGATATTGAAAGACGATCTATACAAGTATCTCCTGCTAAAAATTCCCTTCCAGAAATGCCTGTTTTTCATTGAAAGATCTATATTCTTAATGTCTTCCACATAGAAGACTCTGCTAACTGCACCCCACTTTCCTCTGCTGATTTCACTTCACAATTGCCATCATTCTAGTCCTGTTTGCCCTAATTGGGGACACAAGAAAAATTCTCAGTTGAACGTTTTAAGGGAAACTAGACTTTACAATTATGATAATCCAATCAGATCAAAAATACTTTAACTCAGGCATTATGATAACTCAAACCCAATCGTATCGCAGGTCGTATTGTGATCTATCGGGATTGTTTTTGTGCTTGAGGAGCCAGGATGGGTGTGGCCTGCATGGGCCACAAGTTTGATACCCTTGCTTTAACTTGTGCCTGTTGTATTAGTAACCCATACCTTCTATATATAAATAATTTATACTCACAATCCTTCCCGGCTGCCATCGATTAGAGCTTGAAATAAAGGCTTATTGTGGGGTATGGTCTGTAAAATATTTCCATCACCAGTGACATAACCAATAGCCCACTGCCCAAGTCGAGTGCAACTTAATCTGAAAATGTAGCTGTAAAACGAAGGACAATGCTATAGTGAATAAAAGAGTTGATAAAGGCGGGATAAAAATTTAAAAAGAGAAATTAGAATATTTGTGTAATCTAAATTTACCAATATTTTCCACTTTGGTTAAAAAAGTAGACAAATAAAATCTTATGTTGAGCTTTATGGAAATCTAACTATTTCTTAATTTAGTTGTAATCAGACCCAGCACTCAGCTGAAACTTAACTGTTTGACTAACAGTGTATTATAAACATTAAAAACAGTTTCTTTACTGTCAAATAGTTCTAAGTACTACATGGTTGCTCCCTCAATTCCTATGTATAATGGCCATTATTATAAGTGCTTTTTTTTTTAATATGGCTCACCATGTCACTAGTTTTCCTATCACCACTGTTTGGAAATGACAACAACACAAATCATTTTTTTAAATGGAAAATCTAGTTGTTCTCAACAGACCCCTAGCTAAATATATTCAAGTTTTCCTGTTTCTACATATTGTTCATGAGGATAATTATTATGATTTTGAATTATTTCCTCCCAATCCCCCTGAACCAAATAATCTCTTACTGCAAAGTTTCTGGTTGTAGTCCAATGTCATTAAATTATGAAATTTCCCAGCCATCCAGAAACATGACTAACTAGTGGCAACCTTCCATAATCTACTGAAGTAAATTGGCAAAAAGTACTGAATTCATTACCTTCCTGGTTTGGTGCTATATTTCTGTAACCGTGCTTTAACTTCATCATAAGTAAGAAATGCCATATATCCAGGATGAGTCACAGCTAAGAAGTTCCAGTTTCTTAATATTGAACCCCAAGGCTAAGAGTAAGTGAAATATATAAATATGTATTTATATGTATATACTTAATATATTGTATATTTACCTCAATTTCCTCTAAGAATAAAGAAAACATTTTCTGTAATACTTGCTACCATCAAAGATAACAGCCATTTAAAGTTAGTTACAGTGAAAAATAAGGCATTTTAAAGTAATGTTCAGATTAAAAAAATAGCTTAAAAGTGAGCAACGAATTAAGAATCTGAATAGTATCACAAGTTAATGGAAATAGTTCAAGGCTGAAACAATCCCATTTCAGATCCAAAACTAATGAAATATATAAGCTTTTATTAAAACGATGAAAGCACTATCACACTGCAAACCCTTTGGACTATTTTGTAAAAAGGAGCAGGACTTCTGTCATCTGTTGCTTTCATAAGTCTGCCATTCACCCCTTAACATTTATATCATGTCTAGATGAAAGCAATTTCACGTTCTGAATAAAAATTTAGACTAATTAAAAATAAGAAATGAAAGCAGCACATGAAGAGAAGGAAAATGGGATTTAATTGGTAACTAGATCAGTTCATGTTTTCATGTGAATTCATTATTGCAAACAGTATTTTTTTAAAATCTGTATGTGTACCTTTTGAAGTTTTGTTACCCGCAGAACTAGTAATATAGTGTTAATTGTATTACCTCTGCTATGGAAAACATAAAATATATCAAATTTACTAAAAAGAAACGATATCCTGAATTAAAACACCTCCTAGCAGGAAAAATTGACAGAAAAAAATTATAAAATTCTTCCATTTGTCTAAAATTGCAAAATCCAGCTATGTTCAAATAATAGAAAAAAACATGTTCAGTATTATTTCAGTTTAGCTAAATTACCTGAAATAATCTTGTGAAGATATCAAATTCAAAAACTGAAATATAATCATTGCATGTTAGATCAATAGTAGACTTCAAAGCCATTGCTTCCAGACCAGAACTAATCTGATGCACCTCATGAAGACATTGTCGGAATACTTTCCAAGGCACTATGGTCCTACAATAAGGAAACAATACATATGTGTGTGTTAGATAAAACACCATTTTTAATTATATCTTTTATGTACACTGAGAGCTAATGCACTTAAGGCAAATTCCTTGTGTGTCCAATCACACTTGGCCAATAAAGAATTCTGTTCTGTTCTGTTCTGTTCTGTTCTGTTCTGTTCTGTTCTGTTCTGTTCTGTTCTGATCTGATCTACCCTACCCTACCCTACCCTTTTCTATTCTATTCTATTCTAGCTGTCTTTAATAACCATTTGTTCAGTGACTATTCAAGGTTAAAACAGCACTGAATGAGGAGTTATGGTAGGTTTCCATAATCATGGCCATCACAGTGTCCCCATGATCATATGTTAATTATGATTTGCAATTGGCTCACAATTATGACATGGAGGGATCTTGCAGTTGTGTGATTACCATTCTCAACTTTCACTGCTACCTTCTGACAGGAAATTTCTCATTAGTTCTAGGTTGGTTCACTCTTTCATTATTTTCCATCCATTGCTTCTTGTCTTGCCTTCAGGTGCTTTGGAAAATAGATTCTTATTTGTGACAGCCCTTTAGATATTGGAACACTGCTATCATGTCATCCCTAGCCCTTCATTTCATTAAACTATACATATCCAATTCCTGCATCCATTCTTCATGTTTTAGTTTTCAGTCCCCTAATCATCTTTATTGCTCCTCTCTGCACTCTTTCTAGAGACTCAACAACTTTTTTATCGTGGACACCAAAACTAGATGCAATATTCCAAGTGTGGCCTTACCAAGGCATTACAAAGTGATACTAACTTTAGAAAAAGTACTAACACTTCATGTGGTTTTTATTCTATCCCTCTGTTAATGAAGCCTAAGGCTATGTTGGGTTTTTTGGCAGCTGCAGCATACTGCTAGCTCATATTTAAGTGATTGTCCAGAAGACTCCAAAACCCTTCTCATAGTTACTATTATTGAGCCAGGTATCACCCTGCATTTGGTTTTTCTTCCTTAAATATAGAATTTTACTTTTCTCACCACTGAATATCAATTTGTTAGATAGGGCCCAGTGTTCAAGTCTATCAAGATCCTTCTCTGTGTTGAGCCTATTTTCTAAAGTGTTGGCTATTTCTGCCACCTTAGTGTCATCTGCAAATTTGATGAGTTCTTCTTTTATCCCCTCATTTAAATCATTTATGTAGCTATTGAAGATTACTGGGCCTAATACAGAGCTTTGAGGAACCCCGCTGCATACTTCCTTTCACGTAAATGCAGTTCCATTAAGGATTACACGTTGGGTGCGGTTCGTCAGCCAGTTACATCTGGTGATAATGTTGTTTAACCTACATTTTTCTATCTAATCAAGTAGTAAGTTATGGTCTATCAAATGCCTTACTGAAGCCCAAGTAAATTATATCCACAGCATTTCACTGGTCCACTAGTTTTGTCACATTGTCAAAGAATGCAATAAGATTTTGCTTACAGTATCAGTTTGCTTATCTACCAACAATATTTCTATTTTACCTGAATTTTACCTTGTTCACTCTTCTCAAGTACATTAGTGAAAGTATTCAAGAATCAAGAAATCAACTTGGAAGTGAGATAGCAAGGAGCAGTAGATTTGGAAACTACTAGGAAGTGGGTAGTTCCTTGTTCTAAAAAAGCAGGAATACCTCTATAGCAGGGATGTCAAATTAGCATCGTCACGGTGGCGACACATGACGTATTGTGACTTTTTCCCCCTTCACTAAACTGGCACGTGACGTATCCACACCATTGGCCATGAGTTTGACAGCCCTGCTCTACAGCATAGTACAGAAGATGGAAACTTGTAGGACATCATGGGTAAATAGCCAAGGTGTCAAAGAGTAGTATATAGCATTACTTTCTGGAAACAACTATAGAAGGGAATGGAATGGAATTATTGCAAAACTGTGCTCCCAGGGCCCAACCCTAGATTTATTTAGGAGACTAGCACAGCCAATGTTATTAAAAGTTATTAGGAAGTTCAAGTAAACTAGCAAAAACTTCCTGGCATAAGTTATCAACAGACCAAAGCAATTTTATTCCAATTTCCTGATTGGAATGCCTGTTAAAGTAGTTACATATTTTTCTTCCAAATGTGCCTAGAGTTACAAAGCCATTGCCTTTTCTTAGGCAAAGGTATTAAATTTAAGGCCAGATCTTCCTCATTAAAGAAAGTTACTCTTTTTCTCTAAATGGCATTTTAGCCTACTTATTTAAACTGGAAGAGGTCTCCCTCCAAAAAGATATTAAATATATCCCTGAATGGGGACAAATCCAACATGATCAGATATCAGCCAAGTTAAGCAAAAATCAAGTAAACAAATGCAGCCTGCCTACATCTTCAATATCCACAACTAAAAGAATATTCAAAATGATAAGATAGGAGCTTGCTGTATGTACTACATTTAATATTTGTGTTAGTATGGCATTTAACTATAAATTATTTATTTTAATTACAGGTAGTCTTCGATTTACAAATAGTCATTTATCAGCTGTTCAGAGTTACCACAGCCTTAGAAAGGGTTCTTTATGGCCTATATAGCTCTTTCAGCCATCGTACAATGTTATGCTGCCCTTCCTCTGTGGTCACATGATCACATTTTGAGTGCTTGCCAATTGGGTCACATTTATAATTGTTTGCAGAATCCTGTGGTCATGAGACTGTGATCTACAATGTTTTTTGCTGGTTTCCTGTGTTTTTTGCCAGTTTCTGGCAAAAAAACCACCCATTTAGGAACATGGATTCATGCTGATTTGCTTTGTGTGATTTGCTTAACGATTGTGTGATTTAGACTTACCACTGTGCAACTTGCTTAATGACCACCATAAAAAGATGTAAAATCAGGTCTGATCATGTAGTTGTCTTACAACTTTCACAATTTACAACCCAAATCCCAGTCCCAAATGTGATTGTAAATTGAGGACTACTGTACATTGGTAATCATATTTGAAGCTTAACATTTATATTAACTCAGTGATGGCGAACCTTTCAGAGACTGAGTGCCCAAACTACAACCCAAAACCCACTTATTTATCGCAAAGTGCCAACACGGCAATTTAACCTGAATAATGAGGTTTTACTACCTAAAATAATGATAAACAAGGCAGAGTTCAGCTAATTGTTCTAAGAAAAACGTGATAAATGCACTTTTATGCCCTTCAATTTTTTTCTGCTTTTGAAATATTACGTTTAGCAACAATAAAAAAGAAAAACTTTTGTAATATCATTTCTCTTTCCTCTCTCTTTCCCCCCTCTCTCTGCCTCTCTTTCCCTTCCTCACTCCCTGTCTCTCTCTCTCTTTCCTTCCCCCTCTCTTTCTCTCTCCCTCTTTCTCTCTTTCCTTCCCTCTCTCTCTTTCTCCCTCTCTGTTCTATTTTTCTTTCCCTTCCTCTCTTACCCTCCCTCCCTCTGTTTCTCTCTCTCCCTTTCTCTCTCTCTGTTTCTCTCTCTCTTTTCTTCCCTCTTTCTCTCTTTTCCTCCCTCTGTCTCTGTCTCTCTCTCTCTCCTCTTCGTCCCTTCCTCTGTCTCCCACCCCCCGGGGGGGGGGGAGGAACCCCTGGACTTAATAAAAATTAAACATTAAGGGTTACAATTAAATGTGTCAGGGGATTGAAGCAGAAATAAAATCACCCAAGTTCAAGTATGCAGCACCAAACATTTTAAAGCTCTATGCAGCGAAATTAAATGTGCCAAGTTCACCCTTTGGGTCCCATTCTCCTAAACTTCTCCATATTGAGAGTAATTCCACAGGCATGAAATCTCACTTCTCCTCAGCCCAAAGAAAATTCATAATTTCTCCTTCCTCATATTTGGGCAAAAAACCTCAGATCTGTGTTTGTAAAATATTTTTTTAATCCACCACCTAACTAGTAGATCACTTGAAATTCAGATTCAAGTTGTTACTTTCTGCATTTCTTTAATTTCTCCCCTTGATCAGCAGAGCAAATCCCTATTTTAATATTTCTGTGATTTCACCATCCAGTTCTGCAGCATTTCCTCATTTTAGCCTGCTCGCAACATTTATTAGGATTTCTCTCTATGTACACATAACACCTCCTCATTGTAAGTCAGTCTCTGTCTCCTCCTCTCTCTCTGCCTCTCACCCCCCCCACCCCCCGGAGAGGGGAAGGAACCTCTGAACTGGTAGTGGGTGGTGGGAATCTGACGACTGGAGGTTGACAACCCAGGAGCAGTGCGCCAAAGACCAGCTGGTCAGCGGGCAGGCGGGGCATCCCAACACAGGCAGCTCTGCAGGAAAAGCAACTGATTGAATATCAGTTGCTTTTTTATGCCGAGCAGACACAGGGTCGCAATGTGGCTCTGCACTAAATTTACAAAAGCTCTGTGAGAGTAGGGGGCAGGCCATGGGGGCAGCAGCAGCAAATGTACTGCAACAAAAGCGGAATGCTGTTTCGTGAAATTTTTTTAGTCCTTCAAACTTTTGTTTCCCTGCAAACGACAACGAGAAACGTGATGGAGATGGGCTGGGGCGACAGCGCACATGCCCACAGAGAGGTACTAACCACCTGTCCACCAGGGTACTAATTCATTGACTATCATTCAGAATGCCCTAAAGAAGCATGTTTACTTCATTATCTCATTAAGCACGGTTGTAATTTGGTATTAACTGCTGCTTTTAATTTTTTATTTTATGACTCTATTTTTGTTAGTATTGATTGGCTTTTATTTTATGCTGCTTTGAGCCAAAGTCTTTGTTTCTACCTGTTACTTTTTGCTAATCATTTTGATTTCTGCCAGTCGGTAATTATTAATACTGCCTTCTGCCTTTTCTTCTGAAAATCTTCCTAATAAGTGTTTGTTTCTAAATATTTATTCATTTATTTTAGATTTTTTTTAAAAAAAAACCTCTATTATTTTTATAGATAGCTCAAGGGCAAACACACCTAACATTCATTCCTCTTCCTATTTTCCCACAACAACTTATGAGGTGAGTTGGGCTGAGAGAAAATGACTGGCCCCAAATCACCTATATTATTTATAAATGTAAAACTAGTATAACACTGATGCCACATTACAGTGGCATATAGTGGTTACCCAAAATTTTGTTGCTAATGGCAACAGCTTGTTTTGAATCTTTCACTTAATTCATACACATTGTGATTTTACTACCTATTACAAAGTTATTATATCTTCAACACTTGCATCATAGCCAGGTAAATCTTTGGTAAATTACACATGATATGTAAAGACTTGTGATATATACAACAAACCAATTCAATTATGTATTCTTCATAAAATCTTCATATCTTCTATATTTAGTAATAATTTAAAATTTTATTTTCCTGTCTATTGTCTATCACAAGTTTCTATAAAGAACTATCACTTCATAAAATATACTAAGATAAAACATCAAATAAGATTGAATACCAGAGGCCGATTTCAAGTATAATGAAATATAGACCTTTGATTGGATTAGAAGCATTTAATACTTTATATGTTTTAGTCTAATTACCATAATGTCTTGAGAGTTTGATTTGGAGTACAGTGGGCAAAAAAATATTTAGTCAGCCACCAATTGTGCAAGTTCGCCCACTTAAAAAGATGAGAGAGGCCTGTAATTGACATCATAGGTAGACCTCAACTATGAGAGACAAAATGAGAAAACAAATCCAGACAATCACATTGTCTGATTTGGAAAGAATTTATTTGCAAATTATGGTGGAAAATAAGTATTTGGTCAATATCAAAAGTTCATCTCAATACTTTGTTATATATCTTTTGTTGGCAATGACAGAGGTCAAACGTTTTCTGTAAGTCTTCACAAGGTTGGCACACACTGTTGCTGGTATGTTGGCCCATTCCTCCATGCAGATCTCCTCTAGAGCAGTGATGTTTTGGGGCTGTCGCTGGGCAACACGGACTTTCAACTCCCTCTAAAGGTTTTCTATGGGGTTGAGATCTGGAGACTGGCTAGGCCACTCCAGGACCTTGAAATGCTTCTTACGAAGCCACTCCTTTGTTGCCCGGGCAGTGTGTTTGGGATCATTGTCATGCTGAAAGACCCAGCCACGTTTCATCTTCAATGTCCTTGCTGATGGATGGAGGTTTGCACTCAAAATCTCACGATACATGGCCCCATTCATTCTTTCCTGTACATGGATCAGTCGTCCAGGTCCCTTTGCAGAGAAACAGCCCCAAAGCATGATGTTGCCATCCCCATGCTTCACAGTAGGTATGGTGTTCTTTGGATGCAACTCAGCATTCTCTCTCCTCCAAACATGACGAGTTGTGTTTCTACCAAACAGTTCTACTTTGGTTTCATCTGACCATATGACATTCTCCCACTCCTCTTCTGGATCATCCAAATGCTCTCTAGCAAACTTCAGGCGGGCCCGGACATGTACTGGCTTAAGCAGGGGGACATGTCTGGCACTGCAGGATCTGAGTCCCTGGCGGCGTAGTGTGTTACTGATGGTAGCCTTTGTTACATTGGTCCCAGCTCTCTGCAGGTCATTCACTAGGTCCCCCTGTGTGGTTCTGGGATTTTTGCTCACCATTCTTGTGTTCATTTTGACCCCACGGGGTGAGATCTTACGTGGAGCCCTAGATCGAGGGAGATTATCAGTGGTCTTGTATGTCTTCCATTTTCTAATTATTGCTCCCACAGTTGATTTCTTCACACCAAGCTGCTTGCCTATTGCAGATTCAGTCTTCCCAGCCTGTTGCAGGTCTACAATTTTGTTTCTGGTGTCCTTTGACAGCTCTTTGGTCTTCACCATAGTGGAGTTTGGAGTGTGACTGTTTGAGGTTGTGGACAGGTGTCTTTTATACTGATGACAAGTTCAAACAGGTGCCATTAATACAGGTAATGAGCGGAGGACAGAGGAGCCTCTTAAAAAAGAAGTTACAGGTCTGTGAGAGCCAGAAATCTTGCTTGTTTGTAGGTGACCAAATACTTATTTTCCACCATAATTTGCAAATAAATTCTTTCCAAATCAGACAATGTGATTGTCTGGATTTGTTTTCTCATTTTGTCTCTCATAGTTGAGATCTACCTATGATGTCAATTACAGGTCTCTCTCATCTTTTTAAGTGGGAGAACTTGCACAATTGGTGGCTGACTAAATATTTTTTTGCCCCACTGTATATCTGTGCCCAAGTTAAAAAAGAAAAAAAGAAAGAAGCATTTTCAAACTAACTTTTAAAAACAAATATAGCTTCAAATATATATATGAGTGTGTGTGTGTGTGTGTGTGTGTGTGTGTGTGTGTGTGTGTGTGTGTTTCCTCTAGCCAGGTTTTTCCTACGTAACCAAGGTTTTTTTCTGCAGCCCTAGCTCAGTAGAATCACACTGAGCTAAGGCTGCAGAAAAAAACTTGGTTACGTAGGAAAAACCTGGCTAGAGGAAAAACACACATAAATCCTACGAAGAAGTAAGAATATATATATATTAATTTTTGTTGATTAAAGGAACTTTCATGAGCAATAGGTTTCAGGTGCTTCTCTAGACAAGCAATAAACCTGTGGTTCTAAAACAATTCCATAGGCTTTTACGGAGCCTATGGGTGTTTCCATAGGCTGTTAGCAATTTTTGAGAAGTATGCTTGCATCAACCATTCTTTGCAAACTATTACCAAAAAGGTCTATTTTAACTGGGAGGAGAGAAAATGTCAGTTTTTCAGGAATCTCTATTAAATGTGAAAGTGTACCACTGAATTGTTTATTGTATTTTATTTGTTTACTTCTTGCATTTATTTATTCAATTTGTAACTCACTGCAAATAATTTGTCATTTGTGATATTATACAATTTACACGAGTGAATGTAAATGAACTAAAAAGTAATAAAAAGACACTCAAGTGAAATATCCACTAGCAACTCTACCCTCTATACTGATATAGCTGATACTTACTTTTCTCCAAAGAACTTCTTCCAGAATTCTGCAGCATCTGCTTTTGTGATACGAAAGTTGTCACCCTGGAATTGAGCATTAGGGAAGATTGCCTTTATTTCTGCAAGCATATGACTGAAGATGAGGGACAATTTTGTAAGATTTCGCCTGCCAAAACAAAAAAGAAAAACAAGAAAAAAATAAAATCTGAACAAAGAATTTCATTGAACATATAAAAAGAAGGGCTACATCATACAATAGGAATTCCCCTTCCTAAAATTAGGAACTAGCAGTGACTCATAATTGGAGAAGATACACCTAAATACAAACAAGAAATGTAAAGGCAGAAGAGTAACCTGAGAACAAAACAACTTAAATCATTGCTGACAAGCAAAGAGCCACCATGAAAGGGGTTACTGTTCTAGGGAGAAAGACAACAGAATGAGAAAACACACTTGTTTTTAAAAGTTATTTTGAATCCATCCATCCATCCATCCATCCACCCACCCAATAACACTGCTTTACATCTAATAACTGACTTGGCTGTAGGAAACTGGCAGGGAGTCACAAATTGCAATCACATGACTGTGGGTTACTACAATGGTTGGGAATCTGGGCTGGTTGCTAAGTTCATAATCACATGACTGTGGCAAGCTTTATCTGGCAGAATTTTGAGGACCAGTCATAACCATTTATTCAACACTATTTCAAGTTTTGAATATCAAAACATCTCAGAAAAAACTATCAAACCTATCCCAACCATATAGCACCATAAAAAGGTAAAGGTTCCCCTCGCATATATGTGCTAGTCGTTCCTGACTCTAGGGGGTATCCGAAGACGTCTCTGTGGTCATGTGGCCAGCATGACTAAACTCCAAAGGTGCACAGAACGTTGTTACCTTCCCACTAAAAGTAGTTCCTATTTTTCTACTTGCATTTTTTACGTGCTTTCGAACTGCTAGGTTGGCAGAAGCTGGGACAAGTAACGGGAGCTCACTCTGTTACACGGCACTAGGGATTCGAACCGCTGAACTGCCGACCTTTCAATCAACAAGCTCAGCATCTTAACCACTGAGCCACCACATCCCTTACTATAGTACCATACAACTAGCTAAAATCCTCCAAAACATCTTAAATAAATCAAAAGAACCAGCAGCCCTAGAAGAAAAAAACAAGAGTTCTCTACAACATACATTAGTAATTGTAACAGTCGCTATGTAGAACAAACAGGCAGAGGACTAGCAGAGCATATCCATGAACACTAATAGCAGTCACAAGACATTATGGAAACTCTTCAATTTCACAATTCAGGGACAGACATAACCATAATCTGAACTGGGAAACTGTGAACATTCTAGACCAAGCTAAGTCCAAAAAAGTCCCCCCAAAATCCTGGAACTCAGATATATCAGTCATCAACAGGCATACAGAGATAAACTTACCATTCAAGAGAGAGAGAGAGAGAGAGAGAGAGAGAGAGAGAGAGAGAGAGAGAGAGAGAGAGAGAGGGAACCAAGATGCTAAAAACAAAAGAAAAAGACCTGCCTCACCACCAGTAATCAATAACCCAGATAAGCAGAGATTAATACCAAAATTAAAACTAGACAAACAAGAAGTAAACAATATCCCAATTAAGAAAATACCAACAAACAACCTAAACAATCAACCTAATCACTACCAAGAACTACCAAGAACACTCCCACTAGCAGACAGGACACACAAACTATGAGCAAACCCCACTCCCTTCTAGAACTGATGATGCTATCTAGTTGGGTAATGAAACGTCTGCAAGAAAACAACCAAGTTCAGAGAGCACTAAGGGCTCCACAGTTTGTTTGTTTGCTTGTTTGTTTAAGAAAATGTACACAGCTGCCAACTTACTGTCAGTGACTCTGGGCAGCTTACAATATAAAAAACAATAAAAAGCAACAACCACTCCCTCCCAGCAACAATTAGTCAAATAAGCCACTTGATGGGCTCTACCTCACTCTGGGTTCCCCAGACTCCTTATCAAAACCTGGTCTTCAGGGACTTGCAAAAGTCTGTCAAAGAGGAGGCCAATCTTATCTGCCAAGTATGTTCCATAGGGAGGTAGCCACCACAGAGAAAGCCCTTCTCCTTGGTCACCTGATCTTTCAACATCTTCTTAGCCAGCTAAATGACCCTCAGCTCCAGTTGGCTGAAAGGCATTATTAATTCTTGATGGAACCACAATCCCGCACTCATCTGTGAGGCAGACTTCTATTCCATCAGATCTATCCCAGATTGGCTAAGATTAACAACCAATGAAATTATTTAGCTTGGCAACACTATGCTTAGGAAGGATCCAATGATCCTGGGATGGGAGAAGGAACAACCACTGGAGCAGGAAGCAGCCGTCATTCAAGTAAACTGGAATAGAAGTAGGCTTTGATACTAAATCCAGAGCCTCAATTATCTTCACAAGTATTAGCCTCATTTAATCTTCCTAAGCCTGATGGGGCTCAGGTCAGAATTTATTTTTATTCTCAGTGTCTACTACAGTAGAGTTGACATTTACTCCCAAATAGTTGCTTCTTCAAGAACTTTGTTGCAAGCTTGGCTTGTTTAGTGGAGCCATGAATCACTGACTCCAATGTATTGCACTTCAAAGGCCTTGGAGGTGACTATGAACTATTAAAAATTCATGATCTAGTATGTAAATTCTGCTGTTCTACTTAATTTATTAATGCCTTATTTTAAGCAATGGACTGAGACTTCTGATTTGAAATTAGGTGTGCATATCATTGATATTTAGGTGATAATGGAAGAGACAGCTGTAGTCTATTCCCAGTACTGCTGGATCATGAGCTTGCTTCATCATTCCATATGTCTTATTTTGTTGGATTTATGAATATTTTCTCCCTTTTTTGGATTTCTTTTATTATAGAAATCAGGAGTGTACTGTGCTCTTCTTGAACCCTCTGAGAAAACCTCAGCATAGGAACCTCAGGTGACATTACTTGGTCTCCTCTCAGAGAAAAGATGATCACAATAGGCTGTAGCTGGTATCTAGGCCAACAGTATGATAGAGCATGGTTCTCAACCTTTTCTTCACCATTTAAATAACTTTTGTGGCTACGGATCACAGCCATGGACCCCCAAGGCTTAAAGATTTATCGGTAAATCATAACATTTTTTATGGTTCGTTTGTGATGACACTGCGACCCTCTACGGGTCCGCAGACCATAGGTTGAGAACTATTGTGATAGAAATTTTTGGTGTTGATGCTGCAGCTTGATTGCTTCATTTTGCTACAATAATTTTGAGGGTAATTTCCATTTAGTTTGACCTGTTTTTGGCATACAAAACTGCTCAGTCACATGTGGCTCACGGTGCTATTCCTGCCTTTCATTTTTTCTATTCTGTCTCCAAGGCTTGTTCCAAATGGTACCCCCCCCCCATTTACTCTTTCTTCTTCCTGGAAGATTGAAGAGAGGTTTTTTTTAGAGACAGAGAGACATCTTAAGTCTATCTTCATTTAGATAAGGTAGACATAACCGTTTCCTGTTAGCTTAATCTCTGCTGACTGAACAGCCAAAAACATATCACAAAAAATAAAATCTCCTCCATCTTCTTCCTAGAGAATGGAATCATTTTTCAGTTAGATGAAGAATATTTTCATTGTCTGACCCTAGATACTGGAACATCTGTTGGGTTTGGGATTTATTTATTTTTTGTCAAATATTTTTTCCAGAAGACTTTTGTTGACAAGTTAGACTTTTGTGCTTTGATTTTCATTTCTGATTCTGACTGATTTTTTAAAAAATATTGTATTTGTGAAATTTTAAGTATTAAAAGCTAAATGGAACAATGCTTTAGCAGCAGATGGACAGGATATTAAAAAAGGAGTTTAAATAAACTATCCAACACTGCCACTTCAGGAAATCCATAAAAATATAATCAATTCTTATCATTTGAGCAAATTTATTTTCTTCTGTTTTGTTTTAGAAATGTGATGCTTTAAAACCCTAATTGTTATGAATTGATATATAATGCTGAAATGGATTTTGTTTATTTCCCCTTGTCTCCAAATCTCTTCTGCCTTCCTTAAGAGGCCTTAAGGAAAAGGAGGCATTAATATCACATAAAATGAGTGCAGCTATAGTTCCCACTTACTGTGTTTTAATTAGCAATACACCTTATATGATTAACATGTTCACCCAGTTTTAAAGTTGTATATCTTCAATATGATATAAATAGCTTTTAACAGATAGTTTTATGCTTATGTTTTTAATTTGCTTTCTGTTGTAGCATACTATTACTGTGAAACTATTTACTGTGTTTTATTATTTGCATTAATGCTTTTAACTATTTTGTAGCAATTTGTGGAAAAATAAGATAAACATTTAAGAAATAATGTAATACAATTATCATATCTATATTTACATTTGAAGCAACACTTCAGATAAGATTTTTCTCTCTTGAGAAAGTACATTAATGAGTAATTTAGAAGCCCTTCCAGAATGGACTCATCTACTGCTTCTCTGTGATGTATTATTTAGCATTTATAAATCCCTGATTTATTTATTCCCTATTCTGTTTCTCCTGATCTTTCTGCTTTTATCTATTGGTACATTTCAATTTCTTTCTGCAGCTTATGAAATCTCATTTACTGGAAAAATGAAATAGTTTCCCTTAAAAGTGCTTCACCTGTACCTTAGTACAGCTTTTAGAATCTTTATCACGTGGTAATTTTCAAATTTCTTTTTTGAAGTCAAGGTGGGAGGAGGAAATGAGGAAGCTTTCATGTTTGAAGGGATATATCTTATAAATTATAACTCCTAAATTTGTGATTGTATGGTCTCTTATATCTTACAATTTGGGAGAATATAACCTTGTTCCCTTTCGAATTCTTCTATCTGGGCCAGTGCTGCAAAGGAAGCACCAAGCATTCAGTATTAAACTGTTTCAGTTTCAATTCAGTGTAGTGGAAGGAACAATGTTTTTACTTAGATTAAAAAAAGAATGATTATCCTATTCACTTCCATTCTCTTGCTTTTCAAAATAGCTCTTTTGACCTAAAAAAATAATCTTCTCTCCAAAGACCTCCTACCCCAAACAACAGCACTGCTGTTTGTTAGATGCATGGACACATGTAACTAGAACCATTTTTTCTGTTTCTACCAGACATATACTGCTTCTAGCCA